AAATGTTGGTTAGTTATGAGTGGCTTTGGTATTGCTTTCGAGCAATCTCCAAAGCATTCCTAAAATATTGAATTGCGACTGAATTGCGTTAGGAAACCGGTTGGTCGCTTTTTCGCCCAACCCCTCATATCTCCACCACCCTGTTTATCGCACATGCGCGTCCGTTGCCATTCAGAACTCCACGCAGAGGACGACACTGGGACAACGGACCACACCAATACCGGCCACATTGCAACCATCTCAAGTACTTACCGTCTTCATCTCGACTATGAGATGGATTGTATGAAACAGCACGGTTCCAAAATGAAAGGTAATGTTGCAATGCTTGTTAAGTGTACCAATCCTGACAACCTCACCACAAATCCAATCCGAAACTTTTAGATTTTTCTTTCTCAAATTCTCGGAAGAAACAGCCCCACTACTAAGTACGTTTTCGCATTCGAACACACGAATCACTCTTTGCCGCGACTCAACCACCCTTTCTAGTCGTTCCCGCTCTGAACTTCATGCAACCAGGTACTCATGATCAATCAGAATTTAGGAATGTTTGAACTTATCACTTTTCGGACTACTCATGCTTGAACTCGACACGCACAAATCGTTTTCAAACAAAATTTTCCTTATGTCAATTTCTTCCTGACTCCGTCTGCCGAGCTCACTATTTTTCTCGCGTGTCTCCTTGATTCCACCGTGTCTCTCATTCTTCCAATCATGATAGATTTCACTCGCGCGCATCTCCTCGACTTTTTCCTCTTTATCATTCTTGCTATCATCATAGATTTCACTTATCAACATCAATTTCACTAATCGGGAGTCCGCGTAATCCATCATCCGTGTATCCAATGTGACATTCCAAGCGAGAGTGCAAATGATCGTCAAGTATTTGCAAATGTGCGCATCCGTCGATCACGACAGATCTGCCAATACGCGGGATTCCTGCGTTTGCCCATTCGGGTAAGTGGAATCCCGAGTATTCCACGTTACCTGGGCAATAGGTGACGAGCATTTAACGGCGTGCCGAGATGCCCTTCCGTGATTATATTCCCTCATTGACTTCTCTTTTCAGACGCTTTACAGCCGGTCCTATAAACCTTGGACGGTTGTAATATGCTTTTGACTTTATGATTTTTTGCTTTTGCGTTTGTAAATAAGCAAAATGATTTAAAACACACTTTTATAGGCTGATTTTTTGTTTATCAGCTCTCCTGTATTAGTACACAGTGAATCTTGAAGAAAAAATTCACTCTTATAATACATATCTTTGGATGTTGAAGCTCCGCATTTGGCAAAATGCGGAGCCTCATTACAGCTCTCTCAGAATGTTACGCACAGCAGTCACAGCTGTGAAAGGCAGGCACAGTACCTGTCAATGATTGGTGATGTATGTACAGCGAGCCACCAAATGGATTGAATCAGATTGGATTCATATCCGCCACTTCACTTCCCTTCATTCATCATATTTCTCCTCCTTATCTATCCCATGGGCTACGTCAAATACTCTTCTGACATCAAGATCATCGCGGTACGCCTCAAGATGAAAGGAGAAGATCTTGAATCAATTAATCAACGACTTGATATTCAAATATCTCGTCAGTCTTTGACAAGATGGACTCGACTTTATATCACCACCAACTCAGTCTTAGCCAATCCTCAGTTCTACGAAGTCCGAGGCGCTCCAACCATACTCTCAGCAGGCCAGCGAGTATTCATCACAGAAATGCTTGAAGATGACCCAACGTTGTATCTGGATGAGATTGCTGAGCGTCTCCAAGCTCGAACTGGAGCCCTGATTTCAATCTCTGCGCTTGCGATCGAAATCCGAGACCGTCTCGTCCTCACTCGGAAGGTTGCAAGAACAGTGCATCCTAACCAGTCACCGATCCGTCGCGGTGAATACCTTTATGAAGTTGGCGGAATTAAACCAGAATGTCTGGTATTCCTTGGTAAGTCTGCCCGTTTCTTTATTCTAGTCTCAATCCATTCAGCTTACAAGATCATTCTTGTTGCTAGATGAGAGTTCTATAGCCAAACGTCGGCTGTATCGTAGATATGCTCGATCTATTCGAGGTCAACGGACTGAGCGACTTCGAAGACCTACCAACTCCAATCGATTCACTGTACTGCCAGCAATCTCTCTAGAAGGATGTATTGCTCTTCAGGTCAAAGAGGGGTCTTTCAAGAGGATGGACTTTGAATCCTATCTTGAAAATCATCTGGTAAGGAAACTCAAAACTGTCATTCTCACACCTCAATCTCTCTTCTAAACCAATTTCTTGTTTATTACATCCATCACTATCTAGCTACCAATGATGAACCCGTGGCCCAAGATCAATAGCTGTTTAGTACTCGATAACGCTCCGATCCACCATGGTGGCGAAATCGAGGAGCTGTGCGAACGATTCGGTGTGCGATTACTTTACCTCGCACCATACAGTCCTGACTTCAATCCGATTGAGAAGGCTTTCTCAGTCATCAAGAGTCGCTTACGTCGGACTCAAGCACTAATTGGCGACTTTACTTCCGACGAAGAAGCTGAGATCATTTATACTGCAGTTGAAGATGTATTGACACCACGTTTGATACGCAGCCTATATGAGGGCTCGGTTTATCTATAATCAAACAATAAAAAAGCAACCCGATTTCAAATTGAATACAAATCACATCATGAATCAATTTCCCATCAAATCACTTCATCAACACAGTCTCACAACTAAAAAGATCAAGAATTTTGATCAATTGAATCAAACTGTAGATACCTCCTTCCAACCCGGTTTGAATGGTTTTAATTCTCAATCAAGAATCTGACTTCAACAACACCTATATGTATACATATCTCAATCTATTTTATCTTTGATTGTTTTGCTTTGAATGTCTTACTACTTGACCAATTTGTAAATCGGCTACAATGTTGTAAAAAATACATATGTATGTATTGGTTTCTCTTCAAAATGAAACTTGAAATCTAATTTCAGCTTTGAAAGAGCTTGTCTAATCAAGTCAACGATTCAAATCCTAAAATTAACGCTCGTAAATCTTTACTAAATCTTCAATGCAGGAACGACTTCTAAAAAGTCATCACTCTTTAATTGACTAAAGATCAAGGTGATTTATCTGAATTGTGGTATTCATCTCGATTGGCCATATCATTTTTCTGTAAATTAGATGAACCAATCAATGTTGAATCAAAAGTTCATTCGGATTTCAAAGTAGAATAGTGGCCAGCAACGTGGAAAGGAAGCTTTTGATGTGATGCTGAAGTTTTGAACGATTTGAATCAGATCGCTCAACCGAATTCTCAAGATGAAGGTACATCAACTGTATGCACTCGAACTAGACATAGATCTAATCCAACTCAAGTTTCTTTTCAACTATCTGATCCTTCCGATTCAGATGATGGAGAGATTATTCTTTAATTCAAACAAAGGTATCCATGGAAAGTTGGTATTTTAGGTACGATCGATGTCTTTTGGGAATCAGAGAGTTTGTCAAATCTAAATCATTGTTTTATTTCAATTTTCATGGAAAAACTTTTTAATCATTTCAAATGACAATTTTGGGAGTAGTCAGCATGAGTGTACATAGACTAGGTAAGCTATGTGAACCAGATGACAGAATCGAAAGGTTACATGAGCTAGTGACCTTTGATGAGCTTCCTGAGAGCAGGATTTGTAAAAGTAGGAGGGTTGCATCAACTATAGTTTGCAATCAAAGATTGAGGGGTTGAAAACCTCCTTTCCGAATGGATTCTCTGACTTGCAAACCAAATCGTTGGGCACCTGAAATGAGTTTTCTTGAAATGGTGGGTGGAAAGCCTTCTTTAACCAAGGTCTCTATACCAAATGAAGAGACCTCATTTGCTTGAAGATCGGTCCAATGATCGTATCCCTTAATCTCGAGATTGTTTCGAGTTTCTTTATCACCAGGCTTGATCAGCGCAAAGCTGAGGAAGTCTTCAAACTTTCCACAGTTAGAACTGATGAAAAGGCGCTCGTTGTCATCCAAAATCAAGTTGTTTTGTGAGGCTGTTGCAATTGGAGTTGAAGCAATTGGTGGTGGAGCGCTCGACGGTGGAGCAATTGGAGTTGGAGCAATAGGCGGTGGAGGTTGGAAGTCTTTCCCCTTTGCAATTCTAATCTCGTCAAGTGGGGATATGCCTTTGTAATGGAAACGAAAGTCATATGTTTTAGGAGGGGCTGCTAAAGTGACATCGTTCCGGCCAATCCGTCGATCTTGAATCTGGAGGAAGGATGAATCAAGAAGGTCAGATATCCAGTTTGATGTTTGAATACAAGGTGAAGTTGGTAGTTTACTCACCATGACATCGGCCCAAGTCCGCGCCTTTTGTGTTGTCACTCGAAAATAGTTGAGGTGATTGTCTGGATCGTAGCAGACAGAGTGATCACCCTCTTTATGTTGTGCAATGATAGCATCAACAAGTTCAGAGCGCTCATTTGCTGATCCTGATACTGGGGGTTCAATGGCATGTCTAGATCGGGTCGCTGCTGCTGCCTTGTCTATCTGTCGCTTTTTAAATTCTCTCAATAATCGTTCTTGAGCTTCAATTCCATCTTGGCGTTGTCGGACAAGTGAGGGGTCGGGCATCTTCAATAGAAAATTGACAAAATGAGATGGTCCAAGGTCTTGGATGATATGAATGAAAGTATTCCATTTGTCTTCCTCGTCAACGTTGTAAAAGGGACCAGCTCGTTTTTCGGTTCGTTCAGTGACCATCCACAAAAGCTCTTTGGGAGGATCAGGATCGTTAAGATAGTCTGAGAGACCAGTGACATATCGATCAACCTCAATCATCCCAAGTGTTTTGAACTCTTCGGGAGAGGTTTTGAATGGGTTGATTACAAAGGAATAGAGGTGCTCTTGCTTGACACCTTTCACAGTGCTGCAGACCTTCTTATAGAGTAGTTCAACCGGTTGGATTCGACCACGCTTTGATGTTGAAGGAGCCTTTTTTTTCCTTTGGTTCTTTCTCCATCCAAATCTCATACCTGACCCAAATACGCACTTATTTCTTTTCTGAATCTTCATGTTGATCTGATTTCAATTCTGATTCTTCTGAACTTTCATCGTGTTCAGCCATTGGTCTGTTGGTTTGCTTGACTCGGAGATTTCGATGAGGCTCAGGCTCATCTGGCAAAGGAGATGGAGAATAGACCGGGCTGATGGGCCATCCAATATTTTGAATCTGAGCATATAAGTGGAAGTTCAGTTCAATCTTAATCACAAGATGGATAAAAGAAGACACATACCTCTAGATCTGTTCCACTTGTTTCAGATACTTCACGTTTCTGACGCTTACCCAATCCACTTTGTTCAGGTGCTTTACGTTTTGAATTCTTTTCTTTTTTCAATTTCTTTTCTTTTTTCAATCTCTTTTCTTCTTTTGATTTCTTTCCTTTTTGTGATTTCTTTTCCTTTTTCGTTTTCTTTCCTTTTTTGGAACTTGAAGAGTCAGGTTGGTCTTGGAGATCAGGAAGACTCTCATCGCTATGTTCGAGATCTAGTAAAGTTGGCTTTGATTCGACAAGGGCTCGACGCGCTGGTGTTGCTCGAGGTCTAAGTTGAGGTGCTTTAAATTCTTGTGACGGTTTCAACCCTTGCGACACTAGAGGCACTTGGAATCCTGGAGGCGCTGATGTTGATTGACTGCTTCCAAGTATTTGTACACGTCAGAATTGCCAAAACACGGTGGTCAAAAAACTCAAGACACTCACCTCACAGAACCACTAATTGGTGGTTTGGCTTCAAGAGCTGGTTGTTGATGCTCAGCCTTGAAACTTCAAAAACAACAATCATCAGTTAGGTTTTGAATATCACCACTCAAATATGACCAATATAACACTGACCTGAAGGCACCTCTGGGCATGTCATGCGACATGGAATGAACATCTACAAAAGCTGGTTGCGATAAATATGCCTTTTTAGAAGATTCGATAACAATATCGGAGTCGTATTCATCTTCAACTTCGGATTCAAAGTGGGTAGAAGGGGCGTTTTCAGTAAACTCGTCAGAAGACATGGAGAGGTCTGCTTGTTTACCCTTTTCTGACATTTTGGCAAGGTAGAAGTGAGGTGAAGGTGGGAACAGCAGTGATTATGACTACCTTTTCATAATGATCCTGACATCATCGAACCTCTCACATAGGTGACAGGACTCCCAGTACAGCCGTTCCTGAAAACCACACAACTGGTTTTTATTTTTATTTTGCCAGTGTACATTGCAAATAAAAAGTTTTTTTTTTGAATTAATCCATTCAGATGCTGATGGATCATTTGGCAAAAGAAAATCAGCCTATAAAAGTGTTTTTTAAAATATTTTGCTTATGTACAAACACAAAAGCAAAAACTCATAGCAACCAAAACAAAATACAACCGTCCAACCTTTTCAGGAACGGCTGTACTTCAAGTGTCCTCCCACTCCCAAAACAATAAATTAATCTTACTTGGCATTACTTTACGAGTCATGACTCATGACTGATCCACATTAAATATAGCACCCAATCCAATTCTGAAACTCGACAGCTTAAAGTCCTGATATGGAAGGTCATGAGAGAAGACAGGATATGGCGACTCGCAAGAAAAGGTCTTGTGGATCTTTGATGGAGATGATGTCAGACTCATAAATAGCAAGTTGAAAGACTCATCTATTTGTCGAGAGCAATCGAAGGAACGAGGAAATATGGGCCGCCCGTTTTCGAGAGTCCGGGCCTTCCGTATTTGGAATTTGATACATTACAAATTCAGATACATACATCCAAAACGGGCATAACTCCCACAGGAGGTATGTAACCACAGAAAGTCGTACGGCGCCCTGAGAACATTACTTAAGGCATAAGCAATCTTTGACCGGGAAGCCAAAAGGACTTGAGCACATGCTCAGCCGCTTGAGCCGCTCCGAGAATGCAATATTGGTGTACCATGGATCACCAACCGAACAGAACCGAGTTATATGACTTATTGTGATATATAATAGATCATTACTTCTCACACATAAATTATTTGTATCAGCTCTGAGACTCACCTCAGGCATTACAGATCAGGGGATGGTCTTTAATGTAGCCCAAACCATCCTCATTGTATATATCTAATGATTACTTCTCACCAACCTTTCATGAAATGTAGCTATTTGGCCTTTTGCTCTTGGCCGGTGAGGGACCCTGTGTCACATTATGAGGCTTGAGTTCGGCAAAGGGGCTCATCATTCTCACTATATAATCCCCACACAAACAAAGGTTCAAACCCACGATACCCAATGTCCAACAATCCTGCTCCATATAACATCAATCCACTTAAACCCCATATAGCGCTACCTTTTCCTCCTGTTCCTGGCAAGCTCAGCGGCATCATCTGCAGTTCTGAGAATTTCCGGTTGAGACCCTGCCATTCAACTGTATATTTTAAACCACGCAAACAACCCTACGCTCCTCTGATTGGCATTAGGGTACGCATGATTTTCTCTCACATCTACCTCTAATTTTGAATACCGTACCTGATGACAATTGGTCAAATTCCTCCAGTGCAAGATTGACCGCACTCACTTTCGTCAGTATTGGCTGGACAGGTTCTCATCCGAAATTCTAGCACACAACAGGCAGTTTGGCCGAGTCAATCGAAACATTCAAAACCCCGTTGTTCTCTCTGACAACCACAACTTTCAGGACAGTCACATCGGAATGGACTTTGGTCATTTGCTTAATAGTTTTACCCCCGCGACTCCACCTCCTACCCAACCAACTCGCCCCAATCCCCCAGACCGAGTACTGCCCACCCACTGTCGCGGCTACTTAGGACGTTTTGCTGAAGGACATCTGTTGTTGAAGAACAACAAATGTTCAATCAAAGCCTGCTATCATGTGAGGCAATCAAACAATTCATAGGGCCGTGATACAAACTGATGACTGACATGTTTCAAATCAAACTCAATAGTGTTGCAACGAACTCAACACCGATTCTGTCTGTCGCACTCATGCTTCCCAGTCTAAGCGTAAAGTGAAAGAGGCACAACAACAACAACTTGAAGCCGCGCCTCCCAATGGTTCAAACTCCAACAATGTTGGCTCAACCTCCAACAGTTATTCAGAGACGGCACCGACTCAAGCAGGACGTCTTTACACTAGAAAACTTACTTCTCAAGAACTTGATAAGTTCAAGACGTTGGCCATTGAGAAACAGGTGTTTGAAAGGTTGCATAAGGCAAGCCTAAATACGGCAAAGAAGAACATCACACTTTTGTTGTGGTCAAATCCCAATGTGCGTATCCACTACTCAATGGATGATTGCTTCAACGCTGACATTGTTGAACATCCTTCACCTCCCTTAACCAGACTGAACCACACGGATTGTTAGCCCACGCCCCTCAATGGCCGTTACTAGCTTTGGATGAGTCTGAAGACCTCATGAAGGTTGTTCAGGAGACACTCGGTAATCAACTTCGACATAGCTTACATGTTTGGAATGAGCACGACGAAATATGGGTAAGCATTATCCTTCTTTCATTCACAATTTACCTGATATGCTCATATTCACACCATTCAACATAGCTTCTTACTCCGACCAACATGATACAATCTTACGCTTCAGACCGCCGTAAAATTCTGATACTATTGCCCACTGTCAATGAATTGGACTGCAAGGGTCTAGAATTACACAAGGTTCAAATGGCCGCCTCACTTACCAAGGGCTCAATGGATCTTTGTTACTTTCTAACTCCATCTTCATCTAACAAGATTTCGCGCAGTACCCCAATCCACACTCATAGTACACCAATTCGCATAGACAGTTCACCAATCAACGCTCACCAATCTAGAAGCCCTTCGAACTCTGACACTCAAATTATGTCAACCGCCGACTCCGAACCGACCACTGATGAAGAAGGTGATGTTGCAAGCTCTTTAAAATGGCCTCATTCGGTGTCTATGATTCAGATGCTGGCTTTCTTCGATGCTTCTACGCGACCCAAAACTCACATCAAAGCCGCTTGGTCAGAGGTCTTTGGCAGCCCACACGTGTACAAGAAATCTACTGTTACACGTTATCGCCGATGGCTTGGATTTGTGCCTCGATCAACACTGGATAAGTATATTACAACACATGGTTCCAAGAAGACTATTCGTCAGGCCACAAGATACTTTCACGACGCGTGGGCCAAAAGTGCAAAAGTTGTTGACAGTAAACCTACAAAGCATCATAAGACTTGATTTGACGGTTGTGTTATTTTGTCTCGCTCGGAGCTCAAGTTGTCTTTTATCTTATTTTTTCACTGCCTCCTCCTTCTGATCGCAGAAACCAGTGGTTAATCTGTTTTATATTTTAATTTACTTACTCGCCACTGTTCATTTTCGTTCATTACGACATGTGTATAAGTTGTGTATATCTTATTGTTACTCGCTTTTGTAAATAAGTATATATCCTTTCTGCTTATCTTCATTATTTCTTGAAATTAACTACACGCTCATTATGACCTATTGACACAATGAGAATTTATACATCAACAGCCTCGTCTATGGAGAGAAGAACTAAATTAATAAATATGTCAAACAATTATGAATCAACATCCTTACACTGCGAACATAATGTATTCTTCCGAGGTGAAAAATGATTACATTTATTTCACAAAATGATTAAAAATGCATTAATTCTGCATTAATTCTGCATTTTTCTGCATTAATTCTGCATTATTAATCATTTTGTGCATTAATGTCAATCATTTTTCACCTTGGAAAAGTACATTATTTTTGCAGTGTTAATAAACCCACGCTAGTTAGCATTGCTACCATTCCTCTAGCCGCTACCATCAACCGATCGGATGTCCCCGATCGGTCGATCATGTTTCGCTTACTTTGTATCTGATATTGATGACTCAATCATGGAACTGCACAACGAATGATAAAATAATAAGGATTATAGTTCTATCATTCGTATCGTCAAATAACATAACTACATTACTCCATATGCCAATTGATTGTTATTTAATTACATATAGTAATGCTAGTTCAGAATCTTCGCTCGGCATATTTTCTATGCAAAACTACAAATAAAAGACTGGCACTGTACTCTTGTATTTGTTTCTCCATTTAGTTCAATCCTTCACTTCCAATATTGACTTCATTGAAATTAATTATCTATCTTTCCAGGTGGGATTTGATTTCAATCATTCCGTGTTATTGATTTTGTTGCTCACATTTATTTTTATTAAAATTCTTTGAATGGTTCCTATAAGCTGCAATGCCCGCCCCAACATCCTCATCCACACCTACTGAATCGACTGTAAATGTAGCAAACGAGACGGCTAGGAGCACTCCTGAATCAGGAAAGGATGATATCGAACCGTCAGTCAAAAGCGTTACACCTGCTCATCATCTCGCTGTGACTCCACCTGCCGGTGCAGTAGGCTCAGTGCCTGAGGTCATCCACGAGCTAGCGGAAGGTGTTATTACTTTACTCTCAACTAAACCGGATGCAGCACAAAAATCGGTCAAAATCGGTGACGGTGAGTATAAATATTGTAATGTTCAACACCTGACTATTAGGCAATTCAACTTACATTGAAAGATTTTATTGTGTAGAAAATCTCATATACCTCAACATTGGGTATAACCTCACGAGGCCAATTGCTCAGCTTTGTCCGGATTTACCCGCCATGCAGTTTGGCTTCATGTACGGTGTGATCTCAGACCGTCACGCCAACATGAACATGCGACTCACTTTTGACCCTGAAACTGTAAGAGATAGTGGATATACTGAAACCTTTGTTTCTTACAAAATTGGCCAACCAATCAGTATGATTTCCACCCGAGACATGTATGATTGGAGTACACATGAGATCTACGTTGATTGGGAGCTACTTCCAAAGAAGCTTACCGCAAAACAACATCAACGTTGGACCAGCCTTGCCGCCCGATCACACTGTTTGGCACGCTCAAAGGCGAACCTGTATGTCACTCGCATGCTTTCGTATTATCAAGAAAGCCTTTGCATCCTGTGGACAAACCATTGCAAACCTAGCAGTAAGGCAGCTACGAACCTTGAGAGTTTCTACAATCAAGCAAAAAGACTCCAGGTAAGTATATATATGTTCCAATGTCAAGTAATTATATTATCCGACTGATAAACAACATTCATTTTGATGTAAGGTAAAGAACTTGTACCTCTTACAAAGTTTGGTAGCTCAACCGCCTGGACAAACTGGTTGGTATATGTGCGAGAGCCAGCATGAATCTCAGCCGAAGCGCTACGTTTGGTATTATGATTTTTATGACAAAGAGGCCAACACCGATCCCTGGAAAGATTACATTCATTCTTTAATTCATCACACCTATCATGAAAGTGGTAGGCAAAGTTTGATAGTACAGATTGACTGTGACCAAGAGGGCAGAATAAGCGATGTAGAGTGCTACAATTCACAGTAAGTCAGATAGAAGCTTGATAGATGCTACTTTTTACTCAGTCCACCCGCTCTTGTTTATGTGTATGTTCTCATAGAGATCTAAAGCGAGGGCCAGGCGACTGGGAAGACATGGATAACGCTTTCTTTTTGTTTCCACTGCACCATAAATGTAACCATCTTTGTGATCAACTTGGCTTACCAAAGCTGAACTGATTATTGGCTTCCGTTATCTGCTATCCATCATTTCACTTTGACTAATCTCTAGCACAAATAAGCTTTCAAATGATGGTTTTATTGTTATGTTTTTGATATGTGGCCAAGCAACTGCAAAAGTGATGCGTATAGTATGGATGATTAATGTTATTCAGCAGAATACTTCAGACTGAAGCAAAGATACATTAAACAAATTGATTCAAACAGTTATAAATGTTAAATGAGACGAGAAGAAAGAAAAATAAAGATAGCAAAATCGGGTGAATTGATCATCAAGGTCAAAAAATATGAATTGTAATTAAAGCAACTCTCTGGATAACCGTTATACCTACAATGACGTAGTGTTGTAAAAGATGTTTCCCAAAAACTCCACCTTGGCACGTTTTGAAATCTTTTCGCATAGACGTTTGTTGTGAAGTCTGATCATTTCGTTCAAGAAAAAGTTATACCTGGTTGCGTGCATCATGCGGCACATTGCGTCAAATCGACCAAACCACACATTTTCAATCTCGGCAGCAGACGAGTTAAACTTCCACTTTCCATTGGCTTTTTTCAATTCAGGGAACTTGTTTGGATCATTGTTAATGCGACATGTTGAATGAGATTCTTTGTGTGACTTGAAATGGAAACTGTCTACCGGGAGAAGTGTATTCTTGAAATGCGCTGTGTCTTCCTTGCTTGTGCGGATGTGAGAATATAGATTACATGCGTTATCGTAAAATATAACTTGTGGCATATCATCGGGGTTCGGGTAAAGCTCTTTTATCCAATCCTGAATGGTTGGTTCATGTTATACGATCAGGTAAGGTTTTTTCTCATTAGGAACTTAAAGTAATGTGTGCTTACTTTGACCTTGGTCACCGATTCCGATACGAAGAAAGTTTTACATGCTAATATTACGCCACATGGGGCCACCATCAGCTGTTCGTTGTGGGTCTTACGACGGGAGAACAAGATTTTGGGTTTGTTGACAGCAGATTCCCCACCATCTCGGGCCACTTCGTGTTCGCGTTCTTCTACCTCACAATATAAAAGATCTTCCTCACTCATGTTCACTTCCCCAGTTTCAGTGGAAAGTAACTCGCTCGGATCAATCTGAATCTTAGCTTTAGGCCGGTTGAGCCTCCTAGGCAAGCCAAACATTGTATTGTTGCGTTCTTTGTAAGCTTTGTATGCTTCAATATGCTCAATATCATCACAGGTCTGACTGTTGAATGAAACCGGTCTCATGCAAGGTTGTGCCTTACATATACCGCTGAGCAATCGTGTGTGCGTTGGGCAATAGCGGTCATGGACCTTGTGCAGAGGTTCATCGCAATAGTTTGAAGCTCTGTGGGGATCGAGGACTTTGAGTTGGGATTCGGTGACACTACAACACCAGTGACCAATAGTTATACCATCGGTGACGAGGGCACGCATGACTTTGTAAAAGGTAATATAAGTATTGATATTAATGTAGTTGTTCAAACAATGAGTATAGGTACAAACGTACTAGTTGCTTCGTCTGTCCCAGGTATCCTTTCAACTTTAGTGCAATCAGAACACACATGAGCCAAATATGGGGTGCCTTTGACTTTCTCCCATTCAGAATGGGCTTCCATCGCTGAAAAAAAACGGCGATCATCTGTACCCTTGCCATCACTTATCAATCGTATCCCTCGTTCACTGGAAGATCTAAGTAATCGTTGGATGTCCAGCCCCTGGGAACAAACATGCGGGCTAATCCTGCGTGTATAATTAGGATCATTGAAATCATTCGTGTAGTCGGCCTCAAGGTCTGCGTGCGTGTGATTGTATGAGTTTACAAGGTTGTAGACCGATACCCTACGTGTTTAGACAATGAAATAAGTCAGTATTTGTTCTAAGTGTAATCAGGCGAGTGAACTCACACTGCAAGCATTTGTAAGTGGTTGAAGTAGTTGGCTAGTTCATGGCTCATGAAGTAATGTTGAGTGACCTGGAAATATAACGTGGGCTGGCCTTCTTCCGGTGTATAGTATTCACGAATACCGTCGTGTCGGATGTAACATGGCGTATAAGTTGAGTTACATTCTAGGCAATGAAGATGATGATCATTGATGTCAGTGGTTCATTCCAGTGTGGAGTAAGACAATTTTCTACACTTACTACGACAGTAACCATTAAAGTGCTGGACGGTTTCTATTCCTTCAACATCTAAGTGATAGCCATACACTTGCCGTCGAATTTCAAGTGCAACTGGCCCACACTCGTCGATACAATTGAAACAGTGTAAGGTAGGAGGGTAGAAGGTGTGTTCAGGTATGACCAGAGCGCAATTGGGGCGGTCCTCTGTTGGAATACCATTAACGGGTAAGTTGTTGGGATTGTGGTTGCAAGACGGAAGGTCGTAATACATGATGTGCCAGAGCCTTGCCCACGTAGCTGGGGTCTGGGTGGGGTCTAGGCAGCGCGTAAGGTATTCGATTGGCCCTTCGGTGGTTGTGGTGCCGTACGCTCCATCTGTCTTATTCAGGAACTCGGCAGAGAGCGTGGCAAATGTGGATAGATGTTGGACAGTCAACGTCTCATAAGTATCGGGGTATGCTTCGAGGAGTTGCATCATCAGATCCTTGACTAGCATTATATAAAGTATGTTTTGGAGTGGTGATAGAGGTTTGAGTTCAGTTTGGATGTAAGGGATTCAGAATGAGTCAAAGAGAGTAAATGATCATTTATTATAACTCTTATTATAACTCTCTTCATATATATTTATATATATTGTGCACGAAGTATTTCTCATCACAGTGCATTTCTTTGAGTCTTAGCGTCGAGTAAGGCTCGAGCGATTGCACGAGCGTGGTGAGGTCCTTATTCGCATTAGAGGATGAGGCTAAGGAAATCTCAGGCAAAGGTCAATTTGCAGGCAAAATATCCCGGTTCATCTCATCTTCTGATTAGGTCTCGGTGAGGTTATGCCTCGGTGAGGTTATGTCTCCGTGAGTACTATCCGCTGTTTGATGCCGGTTGTGAGGGAATCTAAAAGAGTCTGCGCGTATCTCACGTCTGGGCAGATGGGTAAACTCAACTAAGTCCCTCGCTGAGTCTCGCACGCTTCGAGCGCAGCGAGGGACTTATGACTCCCAAGCACATTTTTGCCTGTGAGGGGATTGCTTTTTGGCTGGTGGAAATTGGTGTCCTTATAAATCTTTTTCATCTATTTGTGAAAATCCTTGAGCCAAAGAAATAATCTGTTCGCCTCTATGAGGCCCTTTGAACCATCGAAAAAAAAACCGAGGAAACCGAGGACCCTTCCTCTAAGGGCTCCTCAAGTTCCAGCTTTTGGTGTAATTTCCGACTGTATCCACTTGTAGCAATTACATATGACGGCTTAAACAAGACAAAGTCCCAGAAATTACCCTCAAACGTGAAACTTCAGGAGCCCATAGAGGAAGGGTTCCTCGATTTCCTCGGATTTTTTTTTGATAGATCGAAGCGGCTCAGGTAGGCGAAGAAAAAAATTCTTTGGACCAAGAAATTTCACAAATAGGGGAAAATGTTTCATAAGGAGAGAAGTTTTTCTCTGCCAAATTTCATTTCCCTCACAGGCAAAAATGTGCTTGGGAGTCATAAGTCCCTCGCTGCGCTCGAAGCACATTAAATATAGCACCCAATCCAATTCTAAAACTCGGCAGCTTTATGCAAGGTCATGAGAGAAGACAGGATATGGCGACTCGTCTGCGTATTTCAAATGGCCCGTGGCTCTGGCCCGATGGGCCGCCCATGATTTCACTCCCCTTCGATTTCTCTGCTATTTGTCAAAGAACCTGGTGTAGTGAATTGAAATCAATCAAATCAAATGCTCTTGAAGTGAGAAGAAACAAAAACTACAGCAACATCTTTATCGTTAAACATAGTATTTCATAAGTTTGTATCGTAACAAATTTGAAAATGAGAATAGTATGACAACATTTGAAAATGACATCACAGGAAAAAGTGAAATGCTGATAAAATAAGACGAGAAACTTGAATGTAAATAATGCCGTCAACATTTCGGCACACGTCAAGCGCATCATTCATGCGCTTCAGTCGATTACCTTGACATGATTCTTCATGACAACACTTGAAGATTCCGGGAGTTCTAAAGCATCATGCGATCTTACGACCCGTCAGTAATCAAAGTCTCATAGGCTCTATCCTTTAAAGCGGTGAGCACTGAGCTGAGCTGACCTAAAGGTGACGATAATGAGGAATGTCGTGCGCATGTGGGTAGATATGTACCACAACGAAAAGTGCGCTATGTATCACCAAGATTTGGGTACAAGATAAATTTGTATTACAATCGGCTCACATCGGGCACAAAGCTGAGCTTTAACTTCAAGCATCAAGCACGATATCTTTGTGCATCTTACTTTATGGTTCATCAAAACTCTCGGCTTTACGAGTTTTAACTTTTGGACTTACAAATTAAATCCAATCTGGCAGACATCATTGCCGGCGGAAAATGAAAAAAATTGATCTTGGACTTGTAGATTTCTTGTTTCGCAGTCTGACAGCAAGTTTTTCATTAATTAGGTAAAGGTTATCCTGGTGCGGTAGAATTATAAATACGTCGACAATTCTTGAATCGTAAATCAAAGAAAGTCTATCAACCGCAGTGCGATCAGCCAGTCGTTGTCAATCACACCTTTTACACTCGCACTCTTTTTGCACATCTTTCTCTCATATCACAATTCAACTTTTCTCCAATTTCTATCTTTTTAACACTCACACTTTATTATCCTCACTCGGAATTTCATTATGAAGTCGTTTATCATTATCATCACTCTTCTTGCACTATGTCTTAATGAAGCAGGAACAGCTCAAATAGTCACTCGAGATGCAGAAGTCGATAAACATACGAAATCGTCATCAAACCTCATGACCTGTCATGCTAATGCCACAAGTAACGTAGTCTCTGATTTAGAAGATTGCGATAAGTTAGTCAATAATCAAGTTTTACGTTCTTGAATCGATCTAACCAAAAGTCAATTTTGATTCGTTCAACAGGGTCGCTACTTACATGGCCACAAACAAGTCGGCATGCGCAAAGTACAGGTCTTGCACCGTGAGCAAAATATTTCAAAGTCTAGAAAAACTCAACTTTTACTGAGCCCATAGGCTTTTATACTTGGTTTGTATAGTTGATGACCAGAGCCGGTATCGGTAAAGCACAGGCGGTTCAAGTGTAAGTGTTTAATATATCCTCATAGTGTGTCAGACAACCCACTCACTCGCTCATTACTTACTTTGTAGGACATCGCCCACCGAACTCAGATACGCCTTCTCCGCCTACTTTGAAAAATGTTGTAATGTTACTGATCCAATAAAGCCTGTAAGTCATCTTTTCTCATGTTTCTCTATCTGAATCTCTTTGACTGATATTCATCCATACTATTTATAGCGTTTAGAAAAATTCCCCAAGACTGCTGATGGAGACCTTTACTTGACTATAGCCTTATGTGCAGTTTCTGATCCAAAGTGTAATACAGGTGATCAAGTTTCAGTTTGTTCTGATTCGACTTTTGAAGAATTGAAAAACGCTCAAGCAAACTTAACAGATGTTCCAAAGATTGGTGTGAATCAAGATTTATCGTATTAGATTGAATTTTTCTTTTTACATACTTGTACTTACTTTACAAGCTTATGGTAGTGAGTCTTGGGAGTCGGATATGCAATCAAGAAGCGGGACTTGGATGTTGCCTTGAAGTCAGAAATGAATTTGTGACAATCTCGTATATCTTTGGCCTGTAAAGGACAAAAATTTATGGAGACACAAGAGGAGTTCTCAAGAAAATCATGAGCGCTTTTTCCCTAAAGTCTCAAACCCGTGTCTGAGCAATACGTCACTTGCACCTGCCTACATGGTCTTGTGACTACCTTACATTATTATCCACCTTGTGTATATGTCGGAGTGCATTCGCCTTGGTAGCCAAGATTTTGATCTCAAACTACAAAGGCAATCAATAAATTGGCTGGTTTGCGTGGATGATTGAAATAAAGACTTCATTTGTTCGCCAGTGAATATACTGAAACTATAGCTGTTGTTGAAACTTATGCAGATGAACAAATTCAAGTCTAAAAAATAGTCTTTTGTGGGTTTTCAAATCAAAACATACCAAAAGAAAAAAACATCCCTAAATGTTTTGTCTGATAATCTTTTTCTATGTCTCAAAGTTCCCGAGTCTGCAAAAGTCGTGCTCGAGTTGCAACAATTGCCACACCGCATGCACAGGGAGGTCGGTACGGTCTGGTTACTGGTAAAATATAGGTACGGCTCATATGTTACATGAGGTGTGAGTCGAGAGTTGGGGTATAAATTGAAGTCGATGACATCATTTGTTTTGATTTTTCAGAGTGAGATGTGATGTTCAATTCAAACAACAACAACAACAACAACCACCAACATCACATTCCTAATGAGAATGATACTATCAACACTCATGTATCAATTCAAGAACAACAACAAGAATCAATCTCAATTCCAATATCAAGAATATCTCAAAGAACAATCAACTCAAACAACAAAGCTCAAGTTAAGCTCACCAATCTCTTCAACACTATCAAACGTAAATTACTTATTCATAAAAGAAGATATTGGATTTACTCAATAGCTCTAATGATGATGGTTTATTATTGTCTATGGAACTTCAATTTGGTATCATCCTTTAAACCTAACTATTCAATTTCAAACTTATTTATCAAATCTTTTAAAACACCATTAACTTATCGAAACCAAATAGAAAGCATCACAACTTCAAGATTTATTTTAAATCGATCAAATACACTTTCATTTGATCATATTTATGTTTTAAGTTTACCTAACAATTTTAAAAGAAGACAACGAATCCAAAAGATCGGAAATGCACTTGAATTGAATTTTACATTTATTGATGCGATTGAAAAGAATTCAAGTGTGATTGATTGGATTGGATCAAAAGTAAAAGAAATCAGAAATAAGAAACGTAAGATCTTATCAACTCAATTTGGAAAACATCAAAGTGAGATTGGTGGAATGAAAGTAGGATCAGATTGGTTATTAAGAAATGAAGAAGAAGTAATCATAAAAGAATCAGAAGAAAAAATTAAAATTAAATTACCTGCTTTATCAAAAGATTGGGTAAAAGAACTACATCAACATCAAGACGATCTTCAATCTTTGTATCAACCGAAGTTTAATATTCAAAGTCAACTTTATGATCCATTAGAAAGTAAAGCTCCAAGACAATTAAGTTCAGGTACCATTTCAGTTTGGTATGGTCAAACTAAAGTGATGAGAAAGATGTTAGAGAATCAAGATCGATCTGCTTTGGTTTTAGAAGATGATGTAGATCTTGAATGGGATTTAGGACAACTTTGGTCAAGTGTGTTACGTAGATTACCAAAAGATCACAAGAATCGTCAAGAAGGATGGGAAATCGTTTATTTAGGTCATTGTTGGGGTCGTGAAAACTCTCGTAAGTCAGTTTTAATATCACGAAATCGATTAGATTCAAAATTTCCTCATCTCGCTCTTCTTTATGAGACGCATTCTGACCATCAACATACCTTTTCACCAAACCATATATGATATAGATCCACAATACGGACACCCAAATCTTCATCGATCATCTGAACCAAGATGTTTACACGCTTATGCCTTAAGTCATACAGGAGTCCAAAAGATTCTAAAATATCTTTCAGATCCATGGATAGCTTATCAAACAGCCATCGATATTGCTTTACCTACATTAATCAAATCAGGATTCTTAAAGAATGCATTTTCGATTGAACCAGCTTGGATCATTCAAGATAAAACTGAATTTGAAAGTGATGTTCAACCGCTTGGTAAAGGTAGTCTTTGGGCTGGTTACTTGATGGATTCTACTTGGGATAGAGTTTTGAAGTATGAAAGGAATGGAAATGGAAAAGAAGAAGAAGAAGAATGGGTCGAACGTAAGGGTAAATTGGATCCTGCTACGGTTTATAGGGAACCTTTGTTGGAGGAAAGTACAGGTGAAATGAATTGATTTCATGTCCTATTCTGTTAGGAAACTTTGTTGAAGTGAAAGGATTTAGTCATTTGTAGTGCATGCATGTTGTAAAGAGGAGATGTATGATATAGTTATTTGTTGTTTTCAATCTGATGTTTCTGCAAACCTGCAAAGATTTAATGTATAAGGGACTGTTTGAGCATAATTTAAAATCAGATTCAAAGCTGGAATGATCTCAGAGTGAGAGTCACGGAAATTGTAGAATTCTGATGAGAGGACTTGAATTGAGCAAGGCCAGCTTCCAAATCCCGCCCGAATCTTGCTCATATGCCAGCATACACTCGGGCTTACCCGACAAGGCTCGTTCCCGGATCATTTGTCTCGGGCTTTGCTTATGGTACCTAACGACGGTCCCGGTTGGTTGGTTTGAGATTTTCACGTTTGACGCGTTTGTTCTGGTCAGCAAGAAAGTATCATCCATCCATCCATCCATCCATCCATTCTCACACATCGGTTTACTCATCCAAAATGCCATCAAATCGAAACCAACAAATCAATGAATTATCACAAGACAATGAACAAGAAGTTCAAAGTGAAGAAGGATCAGAAGATCAAATGATAGAAGCAGAAAACCGAGAACCCACCGAACGAGATATCTTAACAGGACAAAATATGAATGAGATCTGTCAATTAGAAGAAGATCGAGAAGCACAATTGATATCTAAAAGAAAGTTACGAAACCATTTTGATGAAGTGATGGCCATGAGAGATGATACGAAGATGATCACCAATCAAAGTTTTCATTCTAGAATTCAATTATTAGATGGAGATTTCAAGAGTGTGATGAACCCAGGAGTAGCAACGATTGATGCACAAGCTTTAAGATTACTTTCTGAAGCTCAAGTTCAAAGAACAAGAGATTTGAAAACTGAAATTGAAAGTTTTAATACAGATGATTTTATTACTCATTTTACTCAATTGTTGGGTAAAAGGAATACAATGGATTCAGATGATGATGATGATGATGAAGATCATGTTCAGAATCGTGCAAGAGGATTTGTTGATTGGGAAAAAGCGGGTAAAAGGTTAATGAGATATTCTAGAAGAGCTCCTACAATGGATGTGATGTAAGTTTGAATTTTGATCTAATCTTTAATCGGGTGAAGATTTTAGGTAGATTTGAATCAACACTGCCTTGAACTGATGCTTTGGTTCTGTAGGTATGGACCTTTGGATATTGAGCATAAGAAACGTAAGTTTACTCAACGAACGAAAGTCGTCAAAGATCCGACTCAAAAAACTGCACCTACAGAGGTAAAGTGATGTGATCTTAATCTAGCATCCTTTTAGTTTTCTAATCTCATCTTTATTTCTTGTAACCGGTATAGGTTGCGGCTGCAGATTTGAATAAAGTACGAGAAGAAACCATAAGATTAACAAATTCAGTACGTAGATTCTGCAAAAAAAAATCGATTCCTGATCTTTTCTCTTTATCTTGACTATTTGATTGTTTAAATTTTTGATGATTTTTTTTTCCTTTTTGGTTTTCAGATTCGACAAAATTTACATCGTCAACCTGAATCAGGAGTTAACTTTTTTAAATTTTTCATTAATCCAAATTCATTTTCACAATCAGTTGAAAACTTATTTTTTATAAGTTTTTTAATTAAAGAAGGTGCAGCTGCTATTGAAAATGAAGATGAAGATGGAAATCCAAGAGAATTTCCAATCATTCGTAAATCTTTTTTTTTATTCACTTTCACACAAACCAAAGAAGAAAGATACTAATACAATTTTTTTTGGTTTTTTTTAAGTTGCATCTGAGATTATGTCTAAACAAGATATGGCTGAAGGTGCTTATAAGAAAGCTCAAGTGATTATGGAACTTACGATTCAAGATTGGGAAGATGCGATCGAATTGTTTGATATTAGAAAACCTATGATTGAACATCGAGATCCAACACCTGCTAAATCAAAATAAACCTATCAAATCTTAACACACCAAGTTCGAATCTTATTTGAACATCTGATCACATATATTTAGGGATGTATGAAAAACATTGTTTTAATCAACAAGAAAATCGAAATTTGTCACCTTTTTTCCCTTTTATTTTCAATGCTATATATATTCTTAATCCCAATCAAAAAAAAGCCACTCACAAGATTTATTAAAAGTTGATATAGTTTTAAATGATATCACAAGAAGTTGTTTGTTTTGTTTTTCATTTTAGTTTTTGTATTTTTTGTATTTTGATTACATAAAAGTTTGTAAGAAGATAAAAGATTTTGAGTTAAATTTGGTTGATTTTTAAATCTTATCTTGAATTTAAAAGTCTTTTAAACTTATTTTGCTAATCTTCTGGTGAGCTTTATATAGGGGAACAAATTAGGTGAGTACATGACACGGAGGTGTTCAATATGAGTTGACATTTCTTTGAAGATTTTCTTTTTGGGATTTAATCTGATCTCATTAAGAGACCTTCCATGAGTCTCTTACACAAGTAAACTAGGCTGATCAAAATTTAATGAACACAAAAATTGAACTTTTTTTGAGATATAATCTTCCCTCTTAAAAGTCTCTGCAATGATTCAGAAAGATTTGTGGTGAGATCTGTTGCAACGGGAAACAAGTTGAGGTTTGCTAACTGAAGAATTGCAATGCATAAAGTACGATATAATCATTTAGACAAAATACAATTGCGGTAAAATGAAAAGAAAAGATGTATACATTTCTAGAATTCAGTACAAGAGTTAAAGAAAAGAAAAGATCGTTTATGATTTGCTTTTCCAACCAAATAAAAAGAAGAGGTAAAATTGATTTAAGAAGGTTTTGGACCTAAATTATTCACCAAAGTAGTCAAGATTGGAGCTACTTGTTTTCGACTGGCTTCTGGATTCCCTACTTTCCAAATCCTAACTTGTACTGTATTAGAATATATAAAGGCGTCTATATCGTTTTGTTGATCGATGATTGAAGTTGATAAATCAAGTTGTTGTTGAACAGACAGATCAGGGTTTTCTAAACCTTTATAGAGTCCTAACATAGCTTCATTTCGAATCAAGATCAATAATTCTCTTTTTGTTTGACCGGTTGCAGCTGCTTCTTTTTTCTTTAGTTTTTCATTATTCGCTAGAATCCCAACCGCATCTAAACTTTTGGAAGCACCATATTCATTGGTAGCTGTTAAGAGAGCTTTCCATTTATTCGATTCTTTGTCTCGAACCCAATCACTCAGACTGATCGGTACCGAACTTAAACCGAAAGTCCAACCATTCGTTTGGTATTGTTTATAATCACGTTGTAAAAGTTGAGTTGAATTCAATCGAGTAACATCATCTTTTAAAGTTGAAAGAGTTTTATAAAGTGATTGAAGACCGTTTTGAGAATCTGAAGAGTTAGCCGAAATTGCAAATCTAGAACGAGGAATTAAGAAATCCCTTGCCGAAAGATCTGATTCAGTTGCTTTTCCACCATCTTGAATTAATTTTAAATTACTCGTATCAATCACAATAGCACTTAATAATAAATCAGCTAAACCGATTGGAAATAATTTCGATTGCCAAGTTTTTGAAAAATGATTGACTACTAATGAAGCACAACTACCGGTAGGAACTTGAATGATCCTAGGATTCGCATTAAGATAAAGTGTATTATTTTCAGCTGGTTCATGATGATCTATAACTGCAACTACTTCAGCTTGAGTTCCAAAGACCGATGAAATGACTTGATTATGATCTACTAAAGCATATTTAGCACCATAAGGTGTGAACTTTGAAAAATCTAATGTATCAGAACAAATCAAATCGTTTTGTAAATCACCCGATTCTCGATCGATTTGCATCGCATCTTTTAAGGCTGCTACATTCTCGGCTCTTAATTGAAATGCTGATGATGGAGTTAATTGGATTGGAATATATCGTGTTGATGATGAAGTATCAAAACTAGATAGGTATGCAAATGCGATCGAAGATGATAAGGTATCGAGATCTAAAATCAAAAGTCAAACCAAGCTAAGTTTCTTTAAGCTGAGAATGAGAGATTCAAAAGATATGTTGAATGTGACTTACCACCCGCCTCATTTCCAACACATAAGACCCAATCTTTTAAATCAGCTGTGAAGAAGGCTTCAATGAAGTTATGGTTCTGTTGAACAAGCCAAGATCTGAGATTATCGTTCATTGAAGTTGAAGTTGAAGTTGATTGACTATGGATATTATTAAGAAATCGATATTATGTTAGTAAGTATCTTTCCAAAAGTAAGAATAATGAAGATTGATTACCTTTGGTTAGTTTCTAGTGGATGGTTCTTGTTCTTGTTGTTGTTGGATGGTTTGGATTGAGAATTTGAATTGTAAATCAGGGAAATGTTGATGATCAAGTAAGCCAGCCAATTCACATGTAACAAACACTTCATAAGTGCACCCACTAAAAGAATCGGGTTCTTTTCTCTCTTTCTTGGTTTGTTTCAATTGTGATGAAGGATTGGAAAAAATATATCTTTCGAGCAGATTCAATGATGTCACTGATAGATCAGAAAGAACTCTCTGATCGGGTAGAGTGATCTTGATGTGAGTCTGTGAATACGGCACAGCCACTGATCAAGTATTACATCTTGAGGCAGTGTCCAAAGCTCCAGAACACTGGAGACTGCTGGATACTGTGTAACTCCTTTTCCGACGCGGCCACGTCCGCTTTCAAAGAGGGGCTTAGATGCCTCAACTTTGGCCTGAGACCAGGTGTATTTTCAAGCAATTTTGCTTGAAATCCTTTTTTGAATCACTTTAGCGGTACACAAATATGAAAACCGTATGAAAAACCCGCATGAAACCACATGGTTTTTTTACACCACGGAGGGGCTTTGAGTCTAGAAATGGCCTTTCTTAGTCTGAGAATGGTCATTCCTGAGGGCCAGCTGTAGATCGGCTGGCAGGCCATCGATCGGCGGCCCACTGACCGCCTGAAGATGGACAAGAGAAATCGAGGCCGTAGTCGGCCTCTGGGCCATTGTCAGACCAAATACGCGGTGGCGGCCTGTCTGCCTGCTAATTTTGTCAAACCTTTGCAAAAAAAACAATCAATGACCTGGAAAGAAGGTTGCCAAGTGTAGTTTTTACGTGATATCATTGTCAAGTTCGAGTCTGGAGGACATCAAGAGTTGCTAATCACTCGTGAAACCAATATCACGATATGATTGGTGTCTTTCGTGATGATCCTGGCTCAGGTTTGAACTCGGAGTCGCTTGTTTTTGTATATAATTATACAAAGTAACAAATCCTTCATGGAAATTCTGAAGTATCTGCTTGAGGACTACGACATGGTTCTGTCCTTAATGTACATACTGTGTACATCTGCTTTTTTGATGGACGGAAGGCAGATCACAGCCCGCCAGCGGGCGCAAGCAAGCCAGCCTACCGGCGAGCCCAGCAGGTGCCTGCCAGACGTCGCGCGTGAGGGCCACCTGGAGACCGCCTACCTTTGCAGAAGGGCAGACCGTCTCCAGGTGGCCTGGATGGACCGCCTGCAGGCGGGCAAAACACCCCTGTGGTGTAGGTTTCCCCGCAAAAACCAAAAAAACCATGCGGGTTTTCATGCGGTTTTCCATACGGTTTTCCCATACGGTTTTGATATTTGTGTGCCGCTTTTGTATTAGAATCAATTTTCCTCACAATCTAGGAGTGATGTGACAGGCTAAAATTGGTACAAGAAGAAGCAAAAGACCTTGAAGAAGCTCAGCCAAATCTATTGCAAGGTTTCATGACATTTAGAGCCCTCAAAAAGGCATTCCAAGCAAAATTGCTTGAAAATCCTGCTGGTCTGAGGCCAAAGTCAAGGTACCTGATCCCCTCTTCAAGAGTGGATGTGGCTGTGTCAGAATACAGGCTTAAGCCTACTGGAGGACTGCTGGGAAGCGGGAATTGCAAAAGCATTCAAAGGGTTGGGGAAGTTGAGTGCCACTCTTGTTGACCTGCAATATTCCAGTGCATGTATGTTGATTGAACACATATTTGGGGTGTCTAAAAAGTGCTTCCAAGTCATGGAAAATGGAACTTACTATCCATTCATAACTCAAGTGCAATGTGTGCCAGCTATGTGTGTGATTCACAACTTTATCTGTCTCAACAATAGCAGCAAGCATGCACTTGAATTCCCTGAATTCCATGCTCTTTCTGAAAAACATCTACCACATACTTCTGATTCAAATTTGGTAGAGATCTATGAAGTCAAAGACAGAGCAAATGATGATATGGATGCAGTAAGATAGTGTGATGAGATAACAAGTAAGATGTGAGCACACCATCAGAAGCTGAAGGAAGCTGACACCAGGAGAATAGAAAGGCAAGCCAGATCTTGATAGTTTGGGAATATGGATTGTACATCAGACACACAAATCTCAGATAACAAACTCAAATGATGTCAGACAAACCGTGGCCAGAAGCTGGAGTGCACAAAAAGGACTGGATTGTAAGACCATTTCAGAGTTCATCTTGTACTGAACAATCAAATTGAATTAGTCTATTTGTAAACTATACCCAATAGTCCCTCAAAACCATACTCACTATTAAATCCTCCCTGTCCTTTTCACTTTCATATTGCAATTCTCTCTGTCCTCTTCACTTTCATATTGCTGATATGCTGTATCAATATCTGCTGATTGGGGTTCCTCCTGCTCAGATGAATCCTTGTACAATGATGCATTATTTATGTGGTTGACTGGAGCTAGTTTAGGTTGAGTCAGATCTAAATTTACCTTTGCTGAAGCCAGAATCTTCCCAACTAGAGCTTCTATATCAAAGAGTGGAAAGCATGTGTTTAGCCATCATGCTTGGCTCACATCTTTTTTGATGTGGTACTTCCACACATCTGGTGAACTATCACCCTTCATCTCCACTGGGCACCAGTCCAATCCCCTGAACTCTCTGAGTGCCTTGATTGATCTAAAGCCTCCTTTTACCTTCATCAAAGAATTGGTCCAAAAGGAACCAAACAGTGTTTTTTTTGGATCAAAGATGGTGAGATAAGACTAACAGTATACATTTGTACACTTGGACTAGCAGTGATTGGTGGGTTTTTCAAGGCTTAAGGGAGACTTGGTTCTTACAAGTGCCTTTGCACAATGGTCCCACATTTGCTTCTTCCAACCAAATTCAGAGATCCTACCCTCTTCCTTCTCTTTCAAGAGAAATTCAATCATCTTTGCCTCATTTTCATTGGTACAACTTGTGTAGACATTTGGTGTATGGATCACTGCTTTCTTCTTTGGACAATTTAGACAGATAAATTGAAAACTATTGCATCTGGCTACAAGATCACAAAGAAATCTTGTTTCAGCCTAACAACTATCATTGAGGCCAACTCTATGGCAATAGCCAGGTCAACCTGCCAAATTCCAGCAAAACAGCCAACCTGACAAGTTGACCAAGTTTGCTGGTAGACCTGAGAGGCAGACATTCACCATGTCTGTGTGGTGTTTTCTTGTCAACAAGTGCACATGAGTCGCCTTTGTGCCTCAAAGGCAGTCTGTGTGCGCTTGTCATCACGCAACTGCCTCAAGGACACAGTGACTCATCTGGTTTCCAAAAAATCTGTACCAAACAGTTCACCCCCCAGGTCTACACTTCAAAATGCCTCTCAGGTGTATGCCTGAGCATTTGGCTACCTGTGAGGTCAATAGCTACCAAACAGGACCTTACAGAAGCCCTGAGTGTGGGGTCTGACTTTGCCAGCCCTCTTAAACACATAATTTCAACCAAATCACATTTGTTTGGACAAGTGCTTGCAGAAAAGATACAACACCAGTTTAGTCCACTGGCCCTGACTGTGGTGACTATTATACAGGTATGTGTTTGGGGCCAGCTGACTCAACTGGTGTTGTATCTTTTCTGCAAGCACTTGTACATACACATCTTGGTTCTTTACACACTCAACATCTAATTCTATATATGTCTCAAATCCAAAACTCTTCCAAATGCATTTCTATACTCACCACCAATATATTCTAATTTCCATAATTCTTTAGATAGTGTAGGGAAATCAGGAGGTCTAATGATCCTATCAAAACCTTTGAATCCCAGAGACAAGCTTGATGCATAGCCCTTTTTAGCACGAGCAAATATGATTGCACCTGGCATGTATGATGCCTCTGAGTTTGGTCTAAATTCCACTCTGGAAGACCAATCCCACTTTTGTGAAATCTTCACTTGTGGGATACAAAGTTAAAACTGGGATTTTTTTCCCAGTTTCCCAGTTTTCGTTTTTGGCTGTGTTTGGAACTTTCCCACGTTGTCCCAGTTTCCCAGTTTGCGTTTTTGGCGGTATTTGGGAAACTGGGAAACTGGGAAAAAACTCCCAGTTTTAACTTTGTATCCCCTAACTGTTTTTGCATCTGAATCATCTGATTTGTCTGTATCAATATCTGTTTTTTTAGACTGTTTCCCACTTTTCTTTTGGGTGAAATGAGGACTAGATCTAGATCTTTGAGATCTACTTTTCTTTTCATCATTTCTAGCATGCAGCAAGTTCCTTGCTGTTTGGTGCCATATCAATTTATTTGTGCGGCGGGAACCAGAAAGATGATACAGCTGTGTGCAAATGTGATCAAAAGATATGATTAGAAGAAGCCCAACCCATCAGTTATGGGGTCACATGTAAATCAACTTTCCCATTACACTTTGTTAATAATAAGTTACCAACATCAATTAACAAATTGATTCATGAAGAACAACTTTATTCCTGAGATCAATGATGGTTTACCTTTCTATATATCAAACTCCAAAAGATGTTTATATGAATAGTTTCAGAAGAATCACACTTGAATACTTCTAAATTACATCTAAATCTGTGTTGAGTTTCTTGAATCTAAAGTGCTTATAAAGCAACAAATACTCCAACCCCCCCATTTTTTGATTAAATGATTATAGACTCAAAAGTTAAAAACATGAGGAGGCTACCTGTTTAGCCGATGCCAGTGCCCTGTGAGATCACATGAGCCTTTTCTGCAGAGATTCTGGTGGCCTTGGAATATTCAATCTATGTAGATGATAACTGAAGATGTTTAGAAGTTTTGGGGGTTTCACTCCCAGTGGTTGTAACTTGTAGCTCAGACTGAGACCACTCCAAGTGCTCAAGTCACCAAGATGGATCTTGTTTTTCTTTTCAAGATAACTTGATCTTCCCAAATTTGAAGTTACTACTTTCCTAATGAGTATCACAGCATGCTCTAGTGTGATATGCCTCAGTTTTAGCAGGTCTCTTCACTCCAAGAGGTGCCAGGTATATATCATCTACAACACGTAAAAAATGCAACTCAATTCATCTGTGCTTCAGAGAAAACCTGCAAGGTATGCTTGGGTTATAAAAAGTGCTTCATGAGAAAATTTCAGTCACCTACAAAATTGACCACTCTTGATAAGCAAAAGCTATAAAGAATAATAAATTAATGATTTATATACAACAAAGTGTAGGATGCCTGTTGACTTGGTGAAATCGAATCCTGATCCGATCCACAATACAATGATTTTGAATAAATTATGATAATGATAGATTTTGTTGCTACTTCCAAAATTCGACAAAGTCAAGCAAATACTTCAGTCAGTTAGATGCCTTCATGAATCTATGATATAATCAGAAATGAAATACCATGATATCCTTGATCGAAAATTCTTGAGCTTCCGGCGCTCTAAGTACTTTAACCCCATATGATTCACGCCAGGCAGAATAACTTTGATCAATCCGATCATTGGGTTGAAGGCCTGTGATGACCAAAAGCTTCAAGTTACTTAGTGTTTCAAACTCGTAAGGAAGATTATCATCTATTGCCCAATGTGTAAGTCTTGCAGTAATCTTATCGAGTATTAAGATTTCTATAGACTTTAACATAGGTCTTTGCCAAAACCTTCGAAGGATTGGTTTGCTAGATCGGATTCTTAGTACTTGAAGTTCTGGACAATTATCACAATGACCTGCCGAGGTATATGATTTGAGTATTGCGTCAGCACTTGAGGTGTCGGTGACATCGAGACCCTTGAATGATGGATTCATAAATACCAAAGATTTGGAAACTCTATCGAGAGGATGATTGGGTTTAAACGTAACATAGTATTTTTGAGAATTTGTCCGATGTGGTGTACATGAGAGTAGGGTTTCGAGACAAGTGTATTCGACCATAAAATTACAATCACTTGAGACTAACTTTCTCAACTTTGAATGATCTCGTTTGGAGGTTAGTTCGGAAGATGAACTAGGAACATGATCAATCTCCACTTCATTCAAGCCAATAGAACTAAGCATCTTAAACAGTTCCCAAATCTTGCCAGAAAACAAAAGTTGTTTATTTGATGATAGATCCTTAGGTGAGATGCATAGTCGTTTGACGAATTTGAGTTGATTAATGTTCTTGGGAGACTCGAAGAATTGAAGAGTCTCCGTGAGCATTTCAATGTTAGAGATCGTTAAAGATTCCAGTACACGTCGCTGTAGTAAAGCCGCGAATTGTCTGCAAACCAGCCTCATGGTTCGTAAAACTTGAGTATAGGTGAATGTGTCTTGGGAAGAAGTTGTGTCCGATAAGGAAAAGTCCAATACTTGTGAGATAAGTTCGCAAGGTAGATCGAGTAAATTCTTCGCAGGAACTGGTAATCTGCTCAAAGATTTGCTTTGAAGAATCCTCGATGACCTCTTGACATGGTTGATAGGGATTATTTTACAGTTGTCACGCCCTTGGGATAAAGCAACAGATTGATAGGCAAGAAGTTTGGACAGAGATTTGTCACACTCGTCTTCCCACCTTTCTTCACACGAATGAATTTGAGAACTGATTACGCGAGAGAAGGAGCTAGAGTCCAAGGAGGGTACGTGGTGATTTAGAAGAGTTGCCAGGGTTGAAAGGCGATTCCAAAGCTTTCTTTCCCGCTTCTTGATCATCTGAAATATGGATATTTGGTAGATCTTCAAAAGTCTGAACTACCCCTTCATAAGTCCAAGTAGCAAACTCGAAGAAATCAGTGGACAGTCACCAATTTATCGTGTAGAGCAGTGATGTCCTTACCAGACGGGGGCAGGGACGAGAAGTTTTCTGAACAACTAATAATATCAATTCTCCCGGTTTTCTCTTAAGGTGGTTCAGTCAAGCCAATCAAATATAAATGTGGAGGGGATGATAAAGAGTTTTTTGGGTAAGAGATTATCAAAGATCAATGATGATAGGTCATTGTGATTGGTGATTGCATCTCGGAGAAATCTACTGTCACGCTCAAGTCACCCCGATCGGCAACATTTCTCAAAGATGAAGTAAACCACACCTTCTTAAACATGGCAAGACATGCGAGAGTTAGGGGTAAAGACGATCTATAAGGTCTATAACGCGACAAGATAGCACTTGCGGAAAAAAACTCCAAGATCCTAGACGCGAACCGGGTCAATGACGCGTTTGATGGCACGCACGCATATACCTCATACTGGTTTTGTACATTCTAAAACGATACACCAAAGAAAACTAATTCAAGGTAAGGTGATGTTGAGCTTCATCCTCGCCATGAGGTCATTCAAAAATCAGTTATATCGACTCTTTCTAATCGATTTGCAAGAAGCTGAACTCTCCTGTTGCAATAATTCTAACCTTGTCTTTGGTCGATCAAGCGTGTCAAGGGGTTAGGTCATCTTAAGGCCACGTCCGATCTCCTACATTATCATATCGCTTGAAACACTCTACATGCCGTCCCCCAAGATAATTACCGTTGATTAGCTGTTATTGCTAAAGGGACGCATATAACTTGCTTCAAGTGCTTGAAATTAAGTCCAACCGGAGAACCCGTCCAGCTCTTGTGACCGATTTGCCCCGGAGCTCAAACCAAAAATGCGCGGATATTGATTAGCATAAATTGAAGTCCGGTTGAATCCGTTATAATGCAACTCTCATTTCCACTTGTTTAAACTCTCCATGAAATCCTATCTATCGGACTTGAGATTTCTCGTCATCAAGAGGATGAGACTGGTTTGGGTTCGTTCAAAACACTTGAGGATTGCTAGAGACCCTTGTCGGACCAATCTGCCTGGTCCTCGAGAGACTGAACATCTTGAAGTACCTACCTGTAGGTACCTCACCTTCCCACAAAACACACCAAACAAACAGCCTTTGATGGAAGAGGAGGTTTAATAAGCAATGCAACTCTTGTTCACGTTTTATCTCTTCGCCCTGTACCTCAGCAACCAATGAAATAAAAGAATCTCCAAAATATTGTGGCTTGGTGAACTTTTCAGCATTTCAACTACATCCCACAATGCTGTTACCATAATTCTCTCATTTCAACACTCTTTGATTATTGTTCGAATGCTCGAACATCAGGCTCATGCTCAACAAACTAGCTACTACAGTGAGAACCAGCTGGCTTTGGCTATAATACGAGGTCCATTTCACATCAATTTCAACAAGGACAGCGAATGATCTTTGTTGCACATGTTCTTCAATTCATTTATCCTACACGCAGAAATCCATACCAACTTACCTACACACACGCGCGCGCACAAAGGAATGGGGGAATCAGAAAAGTGAAATACAAAGAAAAAAAGAAGAACAAAGAATCCACTGGGGTTTTCAAAAAAAACAAAACAAAGCAAACAGTGGGAACAAGACGAGATAGAAGACGAGATCAAGATAGTAAAATATCCATATCCACCATGTTTAACAGTACACGATTACTAAATGAATTGAGGACCAAAGGGGCAAAAGATGTTGAAGGATGACTAGTAAGGCAATTGAGCTGTTTCAAGATTTGGTAGACCTTGCTCGAAAGACTTGCCCAATATAACATATTTTTTAATGATTTCGTCTCGGTAGGATATCCAGTGCCTGATTGATTTCGACTCGGAATCAAAAAGTCGAAAGAACAAACCATGTCGCGGTGTATTCATGACATCCTACATAAACCCCAATCGCTCAGATGAAGTTGCTCAAACGACTAAAAACCGACATGAAGAGATAATTAGATCCTTTTCTGAGTAAATCTCATCATGGCGGTGCAATTCAGGAAATATGAACTTACGCCCGTCATAAAGCGATAAGGCCTGAACAATTGTCGGATCCTGTTTACTTCCTTCCTTGAATTCCTCGTACCTGGTGATCATAGATATGTCCAAAGCAAATGAGTTATTTGAGCATTCACTTGTTAGATCAGATGGAGATGATAAAAGACTAACGTGAGTTTATGATCTCGATTGTGATCCATCATTCGGAAGATTTTATCGACTCGCTTCTCCGGCGTATCCTCATCTGCAGGTAATTTGACCATTTGTCCTGTCATCTAAAAATTGCCCGATAACCCAAAATCAGAACTCTTGTTCGCTAAATGCAAAAGATGTCATAGTGAGTTTACTTTGTAGATTGACCGAACGATTTGCAGCATCTCTTCGTAACTAATGTAACCATCACCATCAATATCGTATAGCTGAAAGGCCCCTGTGTATCGAAGAGAAACTCCGGTTAAAATCCAGCATGAGGTGAAAACAATCAACATCTTTCTTTGACTAACATTTCAGCTTTTCATCTAATTGACCACGTGAAGTGACTGAGAGAGCACAAATGAATTCTTTGAAATCGATTGTTCCATTCTTATTTTCATCAAATCTAAAGGAAAACAGTAAGATCAATCAACGTTTTACCCCAGTTCAAAAGTACGTCTGTCATACGTACACATTGAAAACAAAATCAGCAAATTGTCCTGGATCACCAAATGGAAAGAATTGCTTATAAATCCTGGCAAATTCTTGTTTGTCTAGTACACCACTTGGGCAATCCTTGAGAAATCCTTTGTACCTATGAATTGATGCAAATTTGAACACGATTAGTGTTGATCTAGGACCAATACCGGAAGTGAATAGAATGGTACCATTGTTGTAGTTCTTTTTTATCGACTAGTTTCGAGATGATGTGTTAGTAAAGAATTGGTTTATCCTAGTTTGATAGTTTTGAAAGTTTGTCTTACAATATGTACTCTTTTGAAGTTCGAGAAGTTGGTCAGGTGATAACTTTGATTGAGATTTACCCATTTTTACTAAAGTGAAGAAGATCGATGAAGGGAATAGTAAGTTAATGAATTGATTTATGAATTGGTAAAGTGTGATGTGCTTTTTATAATTAGAAGGCGGTGTATGCAGTCCTCGATCTTATTGGTATCCGGGATCCGACTGTTTCAGTCACAGTCCTTCAGTCGGTGTCAGTCCTCCAAGTTGTTAAAAGTACTTTTTACACAGCATCTTGTCATCCGATGTTTTTATAAAAGGAAACTTCAACCCCATCTTCAGCAGGACAATCCATCGAATAATCATCCCAATCAAAGTTGATGATGTGTCAAATTCTACATGATGCTGCGTAAAATAACGCTCTGAGCTACATTTTATGATTTGAATTGTCTCTCTTATTTGATTCTCATCTCTTCTGGTTTACCGCGTTATCGAATGACATCACTCTGTCATTTAAATTTCAGACCACCACACACCCCAAAATAATGCCTTCAAAGTCAAAGATATCTTGATAATCTCGAAAGACTTGGGCGTATTCAATCCAGCTTACAACAAAGAAACTCATTCATTCTAATCATTTCTTACCCTGTGATTGCCACCGCTTTGTGTATTTAAACATGAGTTACAATATTCCAACTTCCCATGGGATATCTTTCAAGTATGATGTGGATTTTGGAGAAGAGAGACCTATACTCCAGAGTGGTGTAGGTTATGCATTTGACTTGTGCTGCTTACCTTCCTTGAATTTGGGGTGTTATTTGCTGTTATTTTGCCAGAGTAGGCTGCCACACTACAGACTCAGTGATATTCAAATCAGCACTGACACTCCCTCCACGCTTCTCAATTGGTGCGATGACGTCACAGTCTGCCGCAGTCCTTGAGGCTCCTTGAGGTGCTTTGAAGCCTATGTAGGACTTCATCCTATATATGTACCAAGTTTTACTAGGATTGATTAGCTTAAAAGGTGGATTCGAGTTTGTATCTAGGATTCAGGGTGACCTTTCTAGCCAAATCTAGAATGCCCTTCCATGCTACCGGTCATGCCAATGTGCTAGCGCTAGCTAATATGGATAAGGTTATATATGTTGATTTGTGCTCAATTTCTGATTGTGTCTTTGGTTTTGATGACAGTTCTCGTATATTATTGGGCTCCTCAAACGATCACGTGCTATGATGCCAACCAAATTATCAGAACAAAACTCTATATTCCTTCACTTCCCAGTCCTGACTGTCAGAGAAAACTTTCAATCAAACCGAAGAGGGCGCCCGAGGAGTTTGTTGTGATGGTCAAATGAGATAAACTCTCAGAGTCTCAGGCAAACTGCATACCAAGAAGACTGGTGTGATTGAAAGGCAGTTTGGGATGGATGAAGCCAACAGCTCAAACGGTAAGGTAGCATGGTGTTATTTTTCATAGGTGTCTTTCCGCATCTTCTTCAAAAGACATATGCACGGGGATTTATGTTTTGCGTTTACCCTACTAGCTTAGTAGCATGAATTATCCTTTGAGTCGTCTTCACTGGACTCTCTTCGGAATCCTTTGAAAAGACGGGATGAAAAGAGACTGATAAAAACGTATTGGAGAATCAAGATTCACCATAAGCATGATTAATCCGAAGTGGAGGCTAAGAACAGTCAAGATTGATCAATTTGATCAATGGTGAACAGCATCGCTACATCTCAAATTGTTATAAGGTCATCAATTAGCCAATGTAATGCTCTTAAATTTGTCAACCTGTCCAAAAAGAAGTCATAGGGAAACCAAAGAATGCATTGTCTGTGTCAATTGATATCAAGAAAACACAAGTAACAAAGCCACAAATGTCGCGTCTCCTTCACAATGACAATACTACAGAGGAAGTGAAATCAGAACTCAAAGGGATTTCAAGAGAAGAGATATTGCCACATGTGATCTCAATTTACTATGCAGCCAATGGTAAGTCTTTCAAGAAGGCTGAGACCTCAGGAGAACAAGTAGTAACCTGTTCACCAGTAGGACAAGTGGGGTCTCCAACAGCACAAATACCTGCGGTGAGATATAAATTACTGTCGACGGTCTCGGGGAAGTCTTTCGAACGCTGTAGGACAAAGTTGTGAAAAATTCAGTCAAAAAGATCCCGCCGTGCAGAGCAAAGATATGGGCTTACCGGTTTCACTTGACGAGTAACTTGACAAGATTCGTCGAAATACATGGAGAAGGAATACCTAAGTTCGGTGGAGGACGTTCTGTAAAATGCCATATGTTGGGTCAATGACCCCCTTATATATATCAGGCTATATGAGGCGGCGGAAGTTGAGTGCGTACACTTGGACTGCCTGTGGCTGGCCGATGCTGGCCCTCGTCATTAACTAAGAAATCCAGCGAGTCGGTCAGTGGCAGTGTGATATATGGCATATGAGGGGATTTTTTACTTACGGCACAAGACTTGTAATTAGCGCACGGCAACTTGTGCGATGCCATGTAAGTTGCAACCCTGATGAGTGGATAAAAGGCAAGATTTTGGATTAGATCAAATTGAAAACATGGAGGATTCTCAAGAACTGACTTTTTGCAATCCTGCAAATTGACAACTTTCTTGTCCAAACCACTTTGACATGTCATCAAGTTTGGCGGGGATGTGGCGTGTCTATAGACCGATCCGATCGTGACCGGTGCAAGAGCATCCGCCTGGCGAGCTTCCAAGTGTTGGTAGCCTTGAGGTGTTGCCATGACGTATAAACATTGAAGAAGAGCACCGATAAGAATGAATGAGTTCATATTGAAGATTTGAGTAAGTAACTGAAATTCAAGATTGAATGGACGAGATAGGATTGTCTTGTGGATACAAGTCTGGCTGGTGAAAGAAAACGGAGAGGAACTTGAAGTGAATATAAAAGTATGACGATGGTGCAAACGTTGTCGTAAACGAAGGTTTTCTTATATAAACAACTCTAGGAGTCACTTCATCTTCCAGAGAAGCGCAAAATTCTTGCCATTTTGAATGCCTCGCCGAAGGTTTCACAAAAAGCAAAACCCTGACGACTACAAAAGCTCAGTTAAGCTCGCTCCGTATCTGCGGTGGTACAACCATTTCATCGACTGAGCCTGCCACATACAACATTCTGACACTGGGAACCGGGGATCTCCTATAGACCCTGCTTAGAAAGACCCCATGTTTCTGGCGTTTCCGTTCTTGTCACATGGGTTTTCTAGTTTTTTTTATAAGAAAAGTCGTAAATTTTCATCAATCGGCTGAGAAACATGTGTTGTTGTAAAAAGACTTGATGAATTCATTCATTGTGAAAAAAGACCCTCAAAAATGGTATTTTTGAACGTCTGAAGGAATCGAATCTCTGAACAAATTTCATTGCCAAAAACCAGTCAAAGATTTGGTTTTTCATTGTCGGACAGATTTTCTCAAATGTCTTACACCTTGAGTTGTGATCCTTCTACTGATTTCTGCATGTAAATTAAGGACCCTCTGTGCAAACAAAAGTTTCATAAGCAAAGTCATGTGCTTAATTATCAATACGCCATCAGTTGGTTCATTCACGGGATCTTGTCTTGTCAATGTTAAATCTTTGCATTATTGTCAGAGTAGACAATAGGCGGCCAGCTGCCCCACAACGCATCAGGAATACTTTAATGGATTGTCCTACGCTTATGCTGAAACAGGCTACATAAAGCTTTTCCCAAATCAAGGACTTGCAAGGAATAGAATCTGTATGAATTGCTTTGCACTCAATATCCCCCTATAACATATTAATCTCATTGCACCAAAACCTATTGATCTTTGTAACTATCCACAGTCCACGTCACAAACACCTCATATCACAGGAATCCATCCTCCACATTGTCCCCTGCAATGGTGAAAGCGTGGGTGAGGTGTGAAGGTGATGGCAAGTGGTGATGTGGCCTTCCAATGAGCATGATCAACTGAGACTTGATGAAGATGGCAAGGGAAGCAATGTCATACGGACAGCTGTTGGACCTGCAGTATGGGGTTGACTACAACATTAGCAATTGTATCTGAATTTGGCAACAGGCCAAAGTTGTATCATTGAACCACAGCCAATCTTGCTTCATTATCAAGTAGATATTAGGCAGCCAGCTACCAACCCATATATGAAGCACCAGTCAATGGTGTGCACGTCAACCAAGTGCTCCCATCATCTTGTCATTGATACTACATTCCCTCACAACTTGGAAACAGTTCTTTGCCAAACTAAAGCCTGGGGCAATTGTCATGTAAGTTGCTTCAAGGTTTGTTGTTTTGCTTCTACATAATTTGAGTGTTGATCCTCTACCCCATATCATTCTTAGTAGGTACTCTTGAAAGTTGATCAAGAGCTCCTCTGGAAATCCAAAAGGCCATGATTGATGGTTTCTAAAAAAATTGTTGCTTCTTGGCTACCACAAATCGTGGATTTCATTCATGTGAAGAACTGGTATTCACTCTGTAAAAAGGTTTTCCAGAAAGCAATCCCTGGTGCTTGATATGTGGTAGATGATAGGATACACTTTGTCAATACTGGTAAAAGCTGAAAATGTTTAAAACTGATTTACTTTGTTGATCAGGATAGAATCAAACAGAATGTAATTTGTTTTATCATTGCAAAAATGGCATTGAACTGATGACTGTACATTTATGCTTTGTTAATTTACATAGAGTGATGTAAGATATCTGTGTAATGTCCACTGTTTTGATGGTCAACCTAGCTTGCATATTTTTCTGGAATCACAATACTGTAAATATTACACCAAAGGGTTTTGTCTGTCAAATAGCTTATCAGACCCACCTCTATATATGTTCAAGGAGAGACCAGATCTCACATCAATTAACGGGTATATTGCTTTACAAAGCACACATCTTTATTACACAAAAGAGAAGGCCATCACTCGCCTACAAACTTTATAATATCAATACAAAATTACCCAAAATATATCATTTAAAATCCAAATTGAAGTTGTGCCCTAGAAAAGACGGGTGGTTTCCAACATAATTGACTAGGTTGAATTCTTCTTCTTTTCTTCTTTTGATTTCGTTCGTGTCTTTCAATGATTGCATCTGATAAACAAATCACATGTTGTTTATCGTGACTAAAGAAATCGAGTCATTTATAATCAGATCATGATTTCAATAAGGATCAAATCTAATTGAATTGGACTTACTATTTTAACATGTGTAAAGTTTGACAAACATGCATCACATCCCCATGAACAATAGCCGTCTTTTGAGCGATTTCATCAATACTCACATCTTCATTTTTACTAACACATTCTAAGATAAATCCTACAATGATTTCTTCCCAATAAGCTCGATAACTTAAAAGACCTAAATCACTCAAAGGTTTTTCCGGTGAACCAAGTTTACCTTCTTTTTTACTAAGTTCATAACTAAATTCGATTAATAATTTCCCAAACCCATGACGTTGATATTGAGGTAAAGTTAAGATACAAGCTACATTATAATTTTCAGCTGATTCTTTTTCTTTTGAAAAATATCCAATCATATGTAATCCATTCGAATCACGTAAACACATCACATAATACATAAATGGATCTACATCATAATAAAGTGTTTTATGATCTAAGAAACATTTACTTAAGAGTGATAAATTCCTACACCAAGTCTTTTGTCTTCTACCATCAATTTCAAAAAAATGAATATCATCTGATCTATAAATCTCATTACCAGGTGGATGTAATAAATTACATTTCATTCGATGTCGATGGATTTGTGATTCGTTTCCAAAGAATGATAAACAGAATTCACAGATATATAAAATCGGTATATGTGCAAATTCGATGGGATAAGGTGAAAAATACCAGGCTTCGACTTCATGTTTTCCCATTTGAATTCGATCTAAATTTTTAACTCTTGAGATTTCATGATGTGATTGGGTCATACTACCTGATGTTCTTAATTTTTCAATTTCATCTTCTTTCGAAAAGGTGGTCTGTTCTTGATCTCCTTCTAATTCATCTTCATCTTCATCTTCGTCTTCATCACTCACGGCACTTTCTGAATCAATCACCATAGGTTGACTTGAATCATCATCTAGATGTTGTTCTTCAAGACTCTCTTGTCGTTTCTTTTGTTGCTGTTTAGTAAGCTTTTGAGCATTCTTGAGTGCAACCTTTCGTAATTTTCCAGAATTGACTACATCACGTTTGACTGTCGATTTACGTGATTGTTTACCAGTAGTAGGTGTTGAAGGTGTTGATGAAGTGGACGGAGTGGGTGTGATGATAGGCCATTCGATGGGTTGATCTAAATGAACTCGAGATCCGATGACCCATTCGTCTAAACGCTTATTATATCCTACCCAATGTAAACTAAAAGTCCGAGAACAATCATCAGTTTCTGTTCAAAGTACCTTGAATATGAAATCGAAGAAAAGGAGAAAGTCTAAACTCAACTAAAATTCTATTTTATCTTCTTCCTTATCTTCTTTTCCTACATTTTCTTTATCATCAGTAGGTTTTGAGAACCTTGATTTTCTAACTAATTTAGGTCTTATACCTAGAACTTCAGCTTTACGAGGTTCAGTTTCATCCAGACGTTGTGCCAAAACTTTACAACCTGTGATGATAGCCGAATGAAGTACTGAGTTGGGAGGACTGATGAGAGGTGTTTGTTGTTGTTTTTGATCGACTGATAAGTTAGAATGAGGTGCCATTTAGTGTGTTCATCAGTTCTTCAGACCATTCACACCAAAGGGGTTTGAGATTGGATGTACCGAGGAGTGAGACTGGGTACCCGACGTAGGACCGAGACGAGTTTGAGGGTGGTTCAAGAACCTAACCCTAAGTGGGAAATGCTGAGGTAAAAATTTAAACGTGGTCCTCATCGAAATCAAAATTACCACATCAGCAGTGCCAGCCACATACTTACTCAACACCTCGATCGAATTCACCATCGACTCAACAACATTCTCAAACCAACACTTTTTGATTAAATAAACATCAATTCAATACTCAACATATGTCTTCATTCTTCAGGACCGTAGGGTCAGATTCAGACTCCGATTCATCTAGTGATGAAGAACTTCTTTCAGCCTCTGGTTCCGATTCAGGATTAGAAGGTAAAAAGAAAGCAGCAGCACCTTTGAAGAATCGTTTTTTGAAAGGAGGTTCAGATAGTGATGATTCAGACTCAGATTCAGATGATATGGAAGATTCGGATTCAGATGATGATAAACCTAAAACTGCAGTACCTGGAAAAGCAAATAAGTTTTTGGTCGGTGCTGAGAGTGATACTGATAGTGATTCAGAAGATGAAAGTCGTAGGATTGTTAAGAGTGCTAAAAGTAAAAGACAAGATGAGATCGAAGCTAGTGTGAAGATTATGGAGAATGGTACCAAGATTAACGATTGGGTTGTCATCAGTGCTGGTAAGCGAACTAACTTTTCTTCACCTCATTTCTAATCTGATCAACATTCTGACTGATCAATCGATCGCACATCTTCATTTGTTCTTTTTCTTTAGAATTCGATAAGCTCACGCGTCTTGTAACACGTCAATCCAATGTATCTGAACCATTACCTGTTCCTTACATCAAAGTTATCTTGAGCTTGGAAGAAGGACAAACGGTTACCAATGCCAATGCGGCCACTAAAAAGAAAATGAATGCTACTAATGCGAAAGCATTCAATACTATGAAACAGAAGATTAAGAAAGCTATCAGGGAGAATGAAGCGATCTTTGAAAAATATAAAGAGGTTCATTTTTTCCCCAGGTTTCACTCGTATCAATTTCACACATCTTCATATCGCTGATCCATTTCCTTTTTTCTTTTCTCATAGGACCCTGAAGCGTTTGAAAAGGAAGCTGCCCAATTAGCTGCTCCCGTTATCGAAAAGAAAATCAAGAAGACTGGTACGGGTGCCGCTGGTGAGGCAGCAGAGGGTGATGACGACGATTTCACCATTGTTGGAAAGGGTGGCAAATCTTTTTCATTCTCTCCTGATTCGATCTTTAAAACTCTTCAAGCTGTCTTGGAAGCTCGTGGAAAGAAGAACACCGATCGACAAGAACAATTGATGATCCTAGAGAAACTTTTAAACATCTCTACTACTACTTACCAACGAATTCGAATCTTATTAGCTTTGGTCTCTAGTCAATTTGATTATAATCCTTCTACCGTTAGTCATATGCCAAGTGAGAATTGGAAATCAGCTCGTAATCGATTAGATGAGTTGATCATTCTCCTTACTGCTGAGCCTCAATATGTTGTAAAAGAAGAAACTGAAGATTACGATGATCAAGAAGAACGTGCACCACTTGAAGATGGGCCTAAGAAATTAGAAGTACGAGGAAGTATTAGTAGTTTACTTGATCGATTGGATGATGAGTTCACCAAAAGTTTACAAAATATCGATCCTCATACAAGTGAATATATTGAACGACTTAAAGACGAAAAGGAAATCTATGCTACCATCGTTCGGGCTCAAAGTTACTTTGAAAGTATTGCGTTGGTGGATGCTAGTGCAAAAGCAGTGATGCGACGACTAGAACATGTCTATTGTAAAGTAAGTTCTTTCAATCTTTGCATCCAATGATCTTGTAGCTCGACTAACTCCAATCATATTTGTTGTAGCCTGATGCGGTAGTTCAAGCTCTAGAACTAGCCGCACCCGATCTACCATCTAAGATCATTACTTTACCTCGACCCTCGACAACAAACGCATCGGCTTATTCATCCTCAAGTCTAGTTCATTTACTCTGCGTTTATCTTTACAAGACTGAGGTCTCACTCCTACGAACCCGAGCCATGCTTTGCCATATTTATAACTACGCCTTACACGATGAATATTACACCGCGCGTGATATGCTATTGATGTCACATTTGCAGGAGACCGTCAATGGGGCTGATGTAGGCACTCAAATCATGTTCAACCGAACGGTGGTTCAACTCGGTCTATCTGCTTTCAGGAACGGTTTGATCAAAGAAAGTCAATCGACATTACAAGACATCTTTGCTTCACAACGAGTCAAAGAATTATTGGCTCAAGGAGTACAAGCTCAAAGATATTCACAATTGACACCAGAACAAGAAAAGATTGAAAGACAACGACAATTACCATTTCATATGCATATCAATTTAGAATTATTAGAATGTGCATATTTAGTTTCATCAATGTTACTTGAAATTCCTAATTTAGCACAAGCTGGTAATGATCCTGATTTAAGAAAACGTCAAATCTCACGTACGTTTAGAAGAATGTTTGATTATGCTGAAAGACAAGTGTTTACTGGTCCACCTGAAAATAAACGGGATCATATTATGCAAGCTTCTAAAGCTTTGCAGACTGGTGATTGGCCTAAATGTGTGGAATTAATCAATGGAATCAAGATTTGGTCTCTTATGCCAAATCAAGAAGCATTGAAAGCCATGATGACTAGGTCAGTGATTTTTTCTGAAAGATAACTTGATCTATTTTTTTCGAAGCGATCAAAACTGATGAAGATTTTTTTCGATCAGGAAAATTCAAGAAGAAGCCTTGAGGACATATCTCTTTACCTATTCAGCATACTACTCATCAATCTCATTAGAATACCTTGCCACAAGTTTCCAACTATCAGAATCGACTGTAACTTCAATCGTTTCAAAGATGTTATGGAATGAAGAATTAGTAGGAGCAAGTTTAGATCAAATTAGTAAAGTTGTCATCTTATCAAAACAAGAATTAACTAAATTACAACAATTAACGATTGGATTGATTGAAAAAGTCAATGGAATGGCTGAAACTAACGAAAGGTATTTAGAATCTAAAGTTGGGGGAGTGAATGGTGGTGGTGGTGGTGAAAGAGAAAGAGGTGGGGATGGTCAGAGAGGTGGGGATAGGAAAGATGGAGATGGTCAACGTGGTCCTAGACGTGGTGGTGGTGTGAAAAGTAGGTTTCTTTTTTTTTCTTTCATGCCTGTTTGCTTCTTCTTTAGTTTTGTCTTGTTTTATTGATTGTTTTGTTTTGTTTTATGATTTTTAGATTTCCGAGGTGGTAGAGGTAGAGGAACATTTGCTGGACCTATTGGGGGTAGAGCAGCTGCAACAACTGGAGGTGGAAATGTTAGAAGGTCTTGACCCTTTTTATACAAAAACAAAACGAAAATCTCTTCTATTCACTATGCTTTTTCAATTTCAATTTATATTTTTCAGAACGAAAAAAAATCAAGAATAGGTTTTTGTTTTTGAACCTTACTTGAATTTTGTGTGTGTGTGTGTTTGCTTCTTTGTTTGTTTCTTTAATGGATACTTTTTTTATTTAATAAGTATACCAATTCTTAAAAGAAGAAAAGAAACTTGAGTTTTGTATTGAGTTTAGAACATGATTTTCTAATCATTTTCATGTTTTTTAAACTCTTTTAAACTCTGTTCATATATCTAGAGATGGGTTTTCTTTTTTTTAAAAAAAGTATCAGAGGAAATGGTATGGGTACATAGATGATTATGGGGTTTGAATTTGATTCATACTAGTTTTGGTTTTGGAAATTACAAGATCTTGATGATCTGTACAGAATAAAGAATTGAACTGATCTATGTGTGATCATTTCATGTGAACAAATATACCAGTGAAGTTTTCTCAAGAATTGTCCTTTTGGAAAAGTCTTTGCCATAGTAGACCTTAATTTGAAGTGTATGACAATTCAACTTCTGTTGTAGACCCACTCCAGGGCCAAAACAAATGGAAAAAACATTGAATTGGGTGATCAAAGTTTATATGTGGTGAAATTCATCACAGTTTTTTCATCTATCACCATCAGATTATGAAAACATTTTAGTAAGGATTGATCAGGAATTTCAAATCTTTCCTAAATCTAAGGTCATTAAGTATAAGAGAATCAACATAAAGGAAATTTGTCAATCTTACCTAGAGATCTCAAAGACACCATTTCAAACCAATGATAGGATCTACAAGTTGTATGTACATTGGTACAAACAAATAATGATGTATAGGCAGGGTCGTCTTTAAGTAACCCAGTTGAGTACCTTTTTATTGACAATTGTAAGGCACATGTGCTATGGAAAAAGACACATGAGAGGAGGAGAGGAGGAGTTTACCCACTCAATTTTGATAAGTTCCACTTAGTCTCTACTAATTGATACATGCATGCAGAAATTCAAAGGCGTTCCTGGGTGTCAATTGGGTTGGTTTTTGGTGCCCAAGGCAAGAATCCTAACTCAGGTCAAAGCAAAAAAAAGTGTTGGATGTCATATGTCTTTGGTTGAGTAAAGCTAGGCTGATTGGTTTTGTTATGCCAATGGCAACAGTGACCAACAATATCCACTACTACATCTTTCTTCAGGAACCCTCCAGTCTGCTACTATTTGACAGAGAAATTTGACAGCTTTGGCATTGTGCCCATTCACATGGAAGATTGGAGCATCAATAGATTTAGCAATTTCAGAAGGGTATGTAGTTGGACAAACTTGACAAGGGTCATTACTGAAACCAAATTGATTGTTTTTTACTAAATGTACTGTTCCACTAGTTTCAAAATTAGGAAGATTGTGAAATCCCATTGAAATGTGACTTATATCTTATTCATTAGTTTGTTATTCAAGGAAACCAAGCACTAATCAAGATGTTCAGGCCCTGTGCATTGAGAAAAGTGTCAAAAAACAGTGTGGTGCAACCAGCTTTGAGCAACAAGCGCAGAGGTATTGGGGAAATTCCCATAGCCAATCATAATCATCACAGGTTTTGATACAGATACCATTGTCAGATTATGGCATAATTACAATCTGTACTGTATCTACTTTCCCCAGTAACACAAAGTTGTACAGCAGTATTATAATGCCAAACAGGCCACTATGGTCCAGTGCGGGCTGTGCCAAACCGTACTGTTGACTGTAACCATCACACTGAGGTCCTAGTGTTTGCTGTGATGCTCAAGTTTGGTCTTTAGACTACACAACTAATCACATACTCAAGGATCCTCTCAATAGGATTTCAAGTATAATGTGATTCTGGTGTTGTGATGTGTTAGAAGATGGGGGATGAATCAAGGGAAGGGGGGTTATCTATTCATGGGTCAACCGTCAACTTGTGGTTGGTGCACAATTCTTGTCTCATTGCTTGTCAACTTGTGGTTGACACTTGGGTTGGGTTTGTTATGTATTTACATGGCTCTTGACACTGAGCCTTGTGGTGTAATTTATGGCTTTATACAATTACAGTATTCAAAGTTGTGTATAGTCTTTTGTATATACTCCTCTTTTTACCCACCAAAAACAACTATACACAAACTATACACAACTTTGAGTACCGTAAATAAAAACTCATCGAGTTTTTCAAAAACTCGTTGAGCTCTTTCTCTTTTAGAATTACTGGGCCAGGTTTCCAAAAAAAACTCACTGACTTTTTGAAAAACCCAGCAGCTTTTTGACAAAAATCGGTCACTTTCCAAAAAAACTCGAGGTTTTTTATTCGAAAACTCGAGGTTTTTTTTTCTTCAAAGTCATCAATTATGCAAAGGGCTGTATATACTCCTCTTTTTACCCACCAAAAACAACTATACACAAACTATACACAACTTTGAGTACCATAAATATTGTAGTATTACATGTGGTACTGTTAGCCTGTGGTCCTGTAATCATGGCTCAGGACTGACAATGAGTATGTAAGCAACAGAAAATTTCCCAGAGAACCAGAAGGTTTGTCATTCATCACTGTCACTTTCAGGCTGTGGGATGGTGAAGCACTGTTGATGAAGATTTGGACCATTTTTTCCTCTGATGGATCATATCAAAGAGAAGGCTCCTGTCTACTCAAAGGACTTTGGTTTGGGTGTTGAAGCAGAGTGACTGTTGATGCCTTCATCAATTGAATGCTGGGATCTTGCAAGCAATACAACCACCTGGAATGAGCTTGACAGGGAGGCTAGCTAAGCTCCAATCCAGCTTGTGCAACTCACAAAAAAGAGAAGAACAAATCATTTGAGTGTCAAGTGGTTTTATGCTCAGAAGATCACAAGTAAGTATTAAAGATCATGATCCTCCTTGGTCACTTCCTCATTTCAAAACCTGGGTCACCTTCACCAAGGGTGCCACTATATTATACTGGTTTAGGTATAGTTGAGTATAGTATGGTTTAAGCTAAACTATTATGGTTCAAGCTAAACTATACTATACTGGGTATAGTATAGTTACAACTATACTTTACCCAACTATACTCAGTATAGTATCATTTCATCAACTATATCTCAAGAAGGATTATACATGTTTTTGATCAAATTGTGCAACTATACTGCACAGTATAGGTATAGTATGGTATATCTGAGTATAGTTCATCTATACTATACCAAGTATAGTTCAAGTTAGTATAGTAGGACTCTATACTATACCACATATAGTGAAGTATATTATAGTATAGTATAGTGACATCCTTCCCTTCACCTGTGCATGGCACACTGGTGGCATGGCAGGCACGTCTCTGTGAATTTCATGAATCCTTGCCATTACTATACACTGCCAGCATTAAAGAGGTTCCCAGATGGGAATATGGGTCATAGGAGTCAGACAGCCTTTGTGACTACATATATCACAATGGCGGTCTGATCCCTACAACCTATATTCCCATCTGGGAACCTCTTTAATGCTTGCAATGATAAGCATTGGAGCTTGCCTGGTTTAATAGTGCATTTCTTGTGGACACAGTAAGGGAGACTCCCCGCTCTGATTTCTCATTCTCTTAAAAATAATCAAGTCCTAGAGCCAGTACTTACATAAATTAATACTCACAAACTGCAAGTACCCAAGGAAATGGCCAAAAATTAAAAGCTCTATGAAACTGTAAAGTGTTTATCCAATACTTGCTAGTTTTAGACCCAATCAAAGGTCCTGATTCAACCTATACTACCATTACAAAAATATGCAAAATGATGGGAAAGCACATGTGAATGCAAATAAAGTTAACACATTTTCTGATTCCTGCCTATCACTGAGACTTCTCTTCATTTTGAATTTTTTAACCTCAGCAGTATATTTATAATCCAGTATAATAGGGGGTTTCAAGTCAGTATGTTTTTGTTGAAAAAATTATGAAATGGACAAGTTTTCAAAATTTCACGGTGTTTTTTTCTGAAAATGTACAGTCAACAGCATTTGGGGCACCTAAAAAGGTGTCCCAATTTTTTTAAATTTACGGTATATTTTGCAACATTGGACAACTTGTTGGACTGTAAAATACTGTGAATTTCTTGATATGAAACCCCCTAATATAAGTAAGTCAGATATATGAACATGTGATTCTAATCAATTAAGTAGATACACATAATTGAAAAACTTACATGAATTGTAGTTTGTTTGCCATCAAGATCCCAATACATCATTCTGGAAACACAACATCAGATCAATCTTATGACTGAAAAGCACCGGTGCTGAAAAGAGCGCAACCAACAAAAATTTATTGTTGACAAAATGAAGATAAATCTGAAAATTAAGTAAGGTCAGGAATAAGCTGATGATATCAATCAAAATTGTCTCCTTTAGAAAAGCACAACAAGAGCATTGCATCCTTTCCCGTGAGATGATCATTGGAGGCATCAAGGATCAACGTGTTAGAATTGATAAATAAATCTTTCTGATATTCAACCTAAATCAGGCGACCAAGCTGTGTTGAATCTTTAGATATAAGTCATCTTTACTAGCTTGGGTATAGTCAGGTCAATCTTCTGATCTATGGCTTGCAGTTGGGTTCGACGGTAAGCCTGTCTAGATCGGCGATTCTTTCGTTTCTGGGTGGAGGTCAGCATTGATCGATTTGGCTTGAGATCACCCTGTGTAGCGTTCTTTGATGCTTTCAAGCTCTTCTTGGCCACTTGAGGTTCATTTTTCTTGGGTTTCACATCAGGAACAATTGCATCCAGTTTAGCAAGGTAAGTTCTCCGTGGAGTTGTAGTTGCAGATGGATTTATTTCCTGGTCAAGAGCGGTTTCATGAGATGAGTCTGTTTTAGTCGATTCAACAGGGATCTTGGGGTTCTTTTTTGTTCTATAAGACACTACCAGAGGTCCTGGTCGGTTCTGAAAAAGTTGATAATGATCCGAGAAAGATTAAGTATCATTCGAAATTCAATACCACATGAAAACCAACGTACGGGTATCTGTTCAGCGAGTGTACGAAGGGTGATATGATCGATTGCCATAGATTTAATCTGTTTTCGTCTGAGCTTCTTTACTTCTTTAGACTCATCATCTACATCACTTTTAGATTAATGAAGAATGATGAGAGAGGTTCTTTCAGTAAATTGATCAAGATTCCTTTACAGTGATTTGATTTTTAGACTTACAGAATACGTTTTGATTCGATTGATTTTTCTGGGTAAATGACCACTTCTGGTTTAACTTCTGGAGTAACGGTTTCGGCTTGGATATTGATCAATTGAGGTGATTTATCGGTTGATAAAAGCTTAAATGCTATCAAAAAATTATATGCAAAAAGGTGATTCAGCTTTTTTTTCATGGATTGTGGAATTGAGATAGTCTTACAAACTTGAAGAGATTTTTGATCCTGAACAAGATCCTTAGAGTCATCTTGAGGTTTGTTTGATTGTTCTTTTGGTGTCGAATGAGTTGGGATAGGATCTGATGAAGCCAAATCAAATCTAGATAACAATAACCTTTCAAGTTGTTCTAGTTGTTCTGCTGAGTTATCTTCATTTTCTAATTTCTCTTCCTTCATGGTTTTCCGTTTTTTATTTGATCAGAGTCAGTCTTTGGTTTTCAAGATGGGATTGAAATTTCCACCATGTCACGGACTGAATATATGCGCATGTCACAGATTCTTGTGATTGGTTTTAAAAATTTTGAATCCGATAATCAACTCTTGGAAAATCAAGTCACACCCAAGCCACATAAAGAATCCCTTCAAAGCCAAATCAAAACAGTCTCATCGAGTACGAGCAAGAAAATTTCACAAATTAATCAAAAGAAACTTGAATCAATCAAAACAAACACTCAGCAAGATAGTCGATGTCTTTAATTGGTCCATCCGGAGAGGCTGCGATTCATGATACCTCAATAGAACTGTCAGAAGAACCATTAGAAAACTATTCCGATGAGGAACTAATCGAAATCTATGAAATAAACGAAACAGTCAATTGGATCAAAACCAATGATTATCATATCATCGGACTTCAATTCCCTGATCATCTGTTACCGATCTCAGTTCGAATTTTTAAATTACTTAGATCTAGGCTTCCAGCTTCAAATGATGGTCAACTTGGTCAACAGGGGAAGGATGGGAAACCAGATAAGGCGGTTGAAATTTATCTCATGGCTGATACTACTTATGGTAGTTGCTGTGTGGACTGTTTGGCCGCTCAGCATGTCGCTGCTCAGGCAATTGTTCACTATGGACCGGCCTGCCTTACCACGTATGTCCATCACTTACGATGATTTTGTAAACTTGTTGCGCGCTAAAATCGAAACTAATCATAAGCTTTATATCTGAATATTGCGTGATGCAGGATAGCCAATTTGGCCGTCTACTACGTTTTACCTCGACTACCCTTGGACGATTCTTCCATACTTCAAGTCGCAACAGAGCTTTATTCGGGCTTCAAGGCGTCATTAGAACGAGACAAAGATACTGAGGACGGTAAAGAACTTCAGCTTGTGCTAATGTATGATGTTGGTTACCACTGGAAAGTAGGTAAGTCTTTTACTCTTCATAGCTCGTTTTGTTGCTCACAAATAAAACATCTGGACAAACACAGACCAAGTTCATGAATCACTCAAGACTTTGTCATCTATACCCATCACGTTGCACCACATAACCACGAGATACCGTAGCACTCGACCTACTCAAGGTCCCCCTGCGAGCGATCAACAAGGCTGTTCTAAGCAAAACGTGACAAAATGTTGTCAGACTTCCTCGGACTCAACTATGACTTGCTATGGAGATAAATCGCCTCGGCCGGAACCATCAGACGCACCACTGCGGCCCAATCTTAATGACCCAACTGTCGATGTCGACTCACCGGTAATTGACACATCCTCCTATGATGCAATCCTCTACCTAGGGCCCTGTTCAAGACGTCTTACCCATATTATGCTCACTCACTCAAGCATACCGATCTTTGCACTTGACCCATCTTCTTCTCCTTTGGCTTGTCAATCACAAGTCCCATTAGCCAAAAAACTACTGATGAAACGTTATGCAACAATTCAACGAGCACGTGATGCTGATGTCTTTGGAATTCTGATCGGTACACTTGGACTGAAACATGATCTTGAACTGATCCATCGAACAAAATCACTGATTGAAAAACAATTTAAAAAGAAAAGTTATATAATTTCAGTTGGAAAATTAAAACCAGAAAAGTTGATTAATTTTATTGAAATCGAATGTTGGGTTTTGATTGCTTGTCCTGAACATTCACTTTTAGATGAAGGGATTAGTGTCACTAGATCAAAACAATTCAATGTTCCTGTTATAACACCATGGGAACTTGATCTTGCTCTTAGTAGTTGTATTGCAGAAGAAGAAGAAGAAAAAGAAGGTTCATCTTCTATTCGTCCTAGACAATGGGATGGTCATTATGTTTTGGATTTTGATGGTTTGATTTCTATTTGGGATAAAGATAGATGTGATCCTTTGGTTGGATCAAAGCAATCGAAAGACCAGGATGCTACAGATGTATCAGATGATGATGATGCACCTGTATATTCTATGATCACTGGTACATACAAACATAGAAAGAAATGGAATACTGGGACCAGTCAAAACTGTAAGTGTCATTTGATTACATCTATAAATGAAACCTTCATTAACGTGTTTGAAATTATCAATATAGGTAAAGAATCTGGTACATTGACAATCAGAGATAATAAACAGGAATTAATTAAATTGGTGAATGGAGCAGCAAGTGAATATGCATTAAATAAAAGAACTTATAATGGACTTGAACCTAGGATCGGACTTGATCATCCTAGTCAAATGGAAAAAGGTAGGTTTGGAATCGCTCAAGGTTATGGTGATGATCATGTACCGGGAAATCCGTGAAGAGAATCATATGATTTAGTTTTGGGATATGAGAATGGGATTATGTAGATAGATGATCTCAATTTTGGATTGGATTTCAAAATTGTCATTGTATACACATTCCTTATAAGTTTCACTCACGTTAATTTTTCTTGTGTTTTGTGATTAAGCATATGGAATGCTAGCGTAAGTGAAAGATGCAGAAATGGTTCAAATGGCATAAACCACTTCGAAATCTCAGGTTGCATGAATCACGTATCATTGCAAGCTAAAATTCCTTCCAAAGTCTTGATGCCCTTGATCACCAGAACCAAGTGAACAGCTCGAAATCCGATTTTCTCCCTTCCCGAGTATTGACCTTACTACTTGATCCGATTCTAGATAACCTGAATGAGTATGAGTCTTGCAAATTGAGTTAACATTTCTGTCAAAGTAAGTCTAGATGGGCTCATACATTTTGGATACCCTTGTGCTGAAACTGGAACATGCTGTGAATCATGCCACTCAGTGTCTTAGAAGATAAGCAGGAAGTGGATAAAACCTACAAGTCAAGCTTTGACAGTCAAATTGGATTCACAGAGGGATGCAGTGATTGAGAAAAGTCTCCAATTTCTCAAACTGTTACCTGGGTCTAGATCTTTTTACCTTATCATCAGCGCTGAAAGATACTTCGAATTGCGAAATCATCTGGTAACGGCTCTACCCAGGCTGCAAGAGGCAGTATCACAAGTTTAGCTGAACCATTTCTCAATGTCCCAGCACATATATATAGCGTGTGCAAAGTACAAAGCTGTTCAAAAGAAGGAAAGAACAAGGTGTGACCTGCAATTGAGCCACACGAACTGTTTTTTACGAAGATAGATCAGATCCCTCGCCTTCAAATTGTTGAATTCCATCTAACGCTCATTAAGATGTTGAAATTTTGCTTCATCGCCGCGCTCCACCAATGTAGAATTTATTGACCAGAAATATTTGGGGAAACGTCATAATCTCTAGATGCACCATTGAGGTAATGCAATTATACTTCTATTTTACATTTCAAGTGCTATGAATGAAATCAGAATCAACCGATTCATCTAAATTCCTCATCAGTCGTCCTCTTGCTAGCTGAGGTTCCCAATAAACCTTTCGAGAATACGCACAGGCAACTCAAACAGCTTTTGTACCTCGATCAAGACTATGAAAGACAGAAGGGCGGTGATAAGATATGTTCAACTCCTAAACTTTCAAGGCAAGTTCGGGAACCCCCGAAGTTAAGCGCCGCGAGCCTGGGCCTATACGTATTCCGAGTCGCCTCATGACAAAATCTTTGAACACAGTTCTGATTCAGAATGGACAGACTATCGATGACTTGCTGGTGAAAGTTTTTGATAGAACATTGGAACCGGAAAGTGAAGGGCCTCAAGAGATAGTTTCCATGATGGATGATCTTTAAGATTCCAAGTCTTGACTTTGTGATATGTAAAGTTTGCAGAAATCTTCAAAAATGTGGATGTTCATCAGTCTGACCAACACGTCTATTCTCATATATCCGCATCTCTACAATCTCCGCGTACCCGTCTTCTCCGGCACATATTTGCCACATTCAACCAGATGGTGTCTCAAAGTTCAACACAAGATTACAAACCAGTCAATTTGAGGTATGAAAGTTTTGCTTCCAGTCTTACGATATAGTCTTGTGTGTATACTTATGTATTTTCTAGATTTTCGTATCTCGAACCACCAGCTCGGTGGAGGTAACACAACTAGAGGTATCTACAATATTTGAGGTAGGGGTTTAAGAGAGCTTGACGAAGCAGGACGAAGCCCTTTCCGCGTGGAAAGCTTAAGTGAGGTCAATTGAACCAACTTCGAAGTTCGATTTATGTTTACTGGACCCTAGAAATCTCCTATGTATACTTATGTTTAAGGTGAACCCCCAAAGAAAGGCAATTCTTTTTGGCAACCTGCTCACTTGAACGTGCTGATTGAGAAAAATGAATCCCTTTCGGTCGGAACAGTCATTGCACATGAGCCCTTTCATCTTGTCACAAATCATGGACTCTTGAAGGAAAGAGGTGGTACATACATGAAACTATCAACATGTTCTCCGATCTAAGCAAGAAAACGTGTACATGTATGTAAGGAAAGAGATTGGAATGACTAAAATCGGTATGCAGACCACTTCCCCCAATTTAAAGGAAAGAAAGAAGGAGGTTAAAAACGTTGATGATGTGCCCCAAGTAAGATAGATATAAGTTGAAGTGTTTTATCAAGAGTTGAAGGGTCGCGATGACTGTATGTACTATGAAGGTCTTGTTGATTGCGGAAGCTTTTACTCAAGACCAATTTAAGAGGTTCAAGCTTGTTGACCGATTTGAATGAGTTTAAATTCTTAAAGTTCTTCTTGATCACTTCACTTCAACTCGCTCCTTTCTTTTTCCATTTCCATCTTCATCCAAACCATCATCACCATCCACTCTTTTCATCTCACTCAGAGTCAAGCAATCAATCAATCAATCCTCACCATCATGATTCAATCTCATTCTAGACCTATCATCAATCCTGGCTCATCTAATCTGCCTCCTAACATGCTATTCGACTTACTTGAATCGGAAAGAGCTTATGTTGCTGACCTCTTTGTTATCATCAAACGCATCGCTGCGGCTTATACTCCTCAAAACCTTCCTCCGCCTCACCACGATCATCACTTTCGACTCTGTGAATCTATCCTTCGTTTCAACAAAGGCTTACTTAACTCTCTTCTTGCTCTAGGTCCAAACCCTGACAATCGAGACCCTATTCAAGTCGCTCATCTACTCGCTGGTTGGGCTCAAGACCTTGAACCAATCTATGGTCGTTATTGTAGTCCGCATGGATGGGCCGGTGCCGGTGGATGGACTAGGGATCGCACATCGATGTCTAATCCTCAACTTTGTGAAATCCTTCTCAGCATTCCTTGGCCAAACTCGCTTGCTCCTCCACCAGCGGACATCTTTCCCGGCGTACCTTATCACATTGATGATATTCGGACGACTGACAATCGGGGTTTACATCATGCAACGCTTACCACCTTCTTCGCTCTACCTTTTGCACGTTTGGTTTACTATCGTCGCTTCTACGAAAAAGCTTTGAACTCATACCAGCCTGGTAGTCCGGAGCATCGGCTCCTCTATGATGCATCTGCCCGACTTTCTAATCTCTTGGATGCTGGATGTCGTCAATGGAAAGTAAACCCTATTCCGCCCGAGTTTCAAGTCTCTCCCATCAAGACACCCCCTACGCATTTATCGCCTAGCAATAGCAGAGGATCCGCGCCCGACACACGAAAAGCTCATGTTCGTGTCAGTACAGAAACCACTGATAGTCTCGGCGATGGCGTTCCTTCGAGCTTCGTTAGCGCTAGAGAGTAAGTGTTTTCCCTGTACTTGTTGTGAAAATGAGTGAAAAAGCCCCGAATACAGACACTGCAAACTCTGTAGTCGAGTGACGTATATAACTTAACGATCGCTCTTGTTTTGCATTCACAGTGACTTGTCTGACGGCTCAAACCCCAGTACCTCCATGTCTTCTCCCAATGGATCATCAGAAGAACAGGCAGCGCTAGGACGACGTATGATTGAGATCAAGCCAGGTATATATGTTCAGCAAGCAATCCTCGATCTAGAACGGACTCTTGACACCAGTCGCTGCCTCGACATTTTCACAATGGCTCCTAAGGTCAGCTCCTTCACCATGACTCCTCACAGGTTTTTCCTCGTTCAGGCTATAGCGAACATTTTTGCTGATTGCTGTTGAATGACTTGCCTTGCTCTCTTCAGCCATGTCAACTTCACATGGCACCTGCCAATCTATCTTTCTCCCGCTCCATCCGGCTTGCTGGCGATGCCTCTTTCTTTTTTTGTCCCAAGTCTGATCCAACAGTTCAAATGACTACGACTTATGGCCGACTCGTCCTCCTGACTGATCTTTTAATCTTTTGCGAATCTATGACTGGCTCAAAGGCGCCAGGTGGAGCTGATATGTGGCTGATGTATCCTCCTCTGGCCGGGAAACATCTGAGGATCTCTCATGCTGAGCAAGACGAGCGTCAGTTTCAAGTCACGATCATGCGTAAGGAGACTATCTTTGTTACGGTCTCTAGTAGAGCTGAGCGAGACCGCTGGATGCAGGTATTGAAGGAAGCCATTGATCACGGGGGTAGTCGTACGTCGTCTCAATTGCTCTGTTTTCGCCACATTTTGCGTAAGTCGCGGTCATTGACTGCTTGTTGTAATCCCCACCAAAGGACCCGGCTCAGAGACGTCTAAGAAGGCTAGTCCACCCAAGCTCAAAGCCAACACCCAAAATCTTCATCAAAAACACTCTGCTCCACCTAGTCCCGCTCCTTCAATTTCAGCCCATCATTCTAATTCTCAGCCGGTTCCCAGAGGTGCTCCACGACTGACGCCTGCAAGCAGTCAACGTCATACACCAATCGAAGACCTCTCAAGACAGCCAAGTCCCGATAATCGGTCTCCTGCTTCTCCGGCATTTATCATCTCACCTTCTCCTACGGTCGGCCCTTCTTCAGACTATGTCGGACGAGGATTGTCAGCTTTGCCTGATGTTCAATCTAATGACCGACAGCACTTGCCCGCACGCCAGGTGTCACTTCCAGAGCAGGCTCGACATGGGCCACGACCGTTTCCAGTGCCTCAATCACCACCATCAGCCTCATCCCTAGATCAGCGAACAGTGCCTATGGGATTGCCCATGCATCCTACAAGCAACCGACCACCTCGTCTTGGCTCTACCGAGAAGATGCAAGGCGGCGATTTTCCTCAGCGACAGTCGCCGTCTGGCGAGAACATTCCAAGCTCACCAGTACCGATGAATGTCGGTATGGCCTCTTCGCATGCTCGAGGTTGGCAGCTCACTGATGAGCCTAGGCTAGAGCCGCCCGGCTCACCCCGGCATGGTACGTAATCACACAGAAGTATTATCGGCCACTGAATCAGCTTACTGATTGAACCTTGGCATTTGATCCACCCTACTCTTATCAGACACAGAAAGCGAACGTCGTCCCTCCAACCGGTCACTTCCTGGCCTCTCAACTAAGCCGTCGCCACCAGCCTCAGTTCATGAAGCACGTTCTGCATCTCCTAGAGCACTACGGAAGGCCCCATCGGCACATTCTCTTGGGCATCATTATCCATCAGGCGGTGATCCCCGATATCCTTCCAACCATCCTCCACTTCCAGGACCCCCTCGCCCAAGTGGTCCCCCGATACGCCTTGATACAACACGAGAGGGCATACTCCTCAGCCCTCATGCGTTCACTGGGATGGATATCAGGAGACCGTCGTCCACAGAACCTTATTCAAGGGACCGACAGTATCGATCACCATCGTCAATGACCAACAATCGCTCACAATCACCGTCTTCTGCATCCATTCTCCCTTCACAACGTAGTTCCCAACTCAGTAATCCATCTAGTGCCCAATGGAGTAGCCCTAATTTCCCGGCACAAGACGATGATTTTGACGATGACGATGATGATGAAAAAGCGAGAGCTGTGCCGACTCAATCAGTACTTGCAGCCACTATGAGAACCAAGGTGTTTTTGAAACAAGCTCACGGCCAATGGAAAGCATTAGGAACAGCCAAATTAATGGTTTATGTTCAAACGCCGGGCAATTCAAAACAATTGGTTGTAGAGAAGGAAGAAAAGGGAGGAAAGACGATGATCTCTACGATGGTCTTAACAGATGGAGTTGAAAGGGTTGGAAGGACTGGAGTAGCAGTTGATTTGAGTGATAATGGAAGACGTACTGGTATTGTTTATATGTTACAGGTTTGTTTTCTTTGGTTTTACGTATTCAACCTTTTTTTTTGAAGGGAATGGAATTCTAATTGATGATTTATTTTTGATCTTTTCTTTAGCTTAAGAGTGAGAAATCTGCTATTGGACTGTTTGAACAATTATTAGAAGGATCTGATAGAAGACCTGTTAGATGAAGAATGGGGAAAGGAAAAGGCAAAGAGAAGACAGAAGAAGTCATTTTTCGATATTAATCTATTACATCACTTAATGAGATTTTTTTTTTGTTTTTTTGTTTTTGTTTTTTCAAAATAAAGCAACTCTTATATTTTTTTCTACCTTTTTTTTTTGAAATTATTATCTTCTTTTTTTATATATATAATTTATATAAACCTTGTGTTGAAAAGGTTTTTTTTTCTTCGTTGATCATTTTGGACTTTTTTGAATTTGAATTTGAGGGTTTTTTTTTTCTGTTTCAAAGAGAATAAAAATTTAATTTAATGTGAAGAAATTGAGAGTTTATTTTTTTTTTGGTAATGGTTGAGGAGGTTGTACATATGTAGAATAAAGAAGGAGAGTGGAAGAGAAGTGAGAATGATGTGTATATGTTTGTTTTTTGGAAATATTATGATATATGAGATTAAGATTGGGCAGATATTTTTTCAAGAGGAGTGCTCCGTATGGCTTGGATTTTGTTTAAGAGGACAAGATTGGGTTGAAGAGTATTGATGGAAGTATATGATTTACATATTTACTTCATGGAAGAAGCTTACTCTCTAGAGGAAAAGAGTTGATTTTGTCTCTTGAACTTTTACAAAAAAGGATCATGTTAGAATTTGGTTATGTAATTGTAAAGTAAACATTAGGATCTTTTGCTATCTTTTGATATCTTATGACCTGGTATTTGAGGAGATTCCAAAAAGGTCTTCAAGCAACAAAATCTATGATCTCATTTTCTATAAAACTGGCTTATTCAAAATTCCTTGTAAAAAATGTATTTTGGTATGTATACTGCATGTTTTTGATGACCTTTTGAGATGAGGAAGATGAATATCATTTCAGAGTTATTCCCTGGCTGAGCAGGGAGATGTCACGGAGGTCACCAACACAACTTTCTCATGATGTAAAGAAAAGAAGCATACCAAACAAGTTGATTTCACCTCTTTGAGGTATTCAGAGTGAAGTGTTCTGCAGGGCAAGCCTTGATTAAAATTTCCCATGGATGATGGCATGCTGACTCAGCTGTGCACTGTCTTGGAATTTGGGATTCGGGACGGGGGGATCCGAGGCCTATAACCCGACTTCCAAGCGGGTCAGGAGAGATATTTTAGCCCTTGGATGAGAAGGGCGAATAAGGTAAAGAGCGTCATACTCAGCAAGAACACCATGACCACATCCAGTTCTGGTCATCAAGAAGAACAATCTGATGAACCTACTACAAACAGCAGCAAGGGTAAAGCTAAGATGATTGAACCTGATCAACCACAATCATCTTCAACAGCAATCCCATCTAAGACAACCAAACCCATCGATCTTTCAAATCTTGAATCATTACTCAATCAATGGAAAACTACACTTTCAGGAAAATTTCCACATCTTCATCATAATCGAAAGGATCCATTCTATCAAACTCTTTCTCATTTTCCATCTGAAGAACCAAGAAAAAGGAAAAGGACACGTCGAGCAAGACGATCACTCAAAACCAGACTTCGTAATCTTCAAGCCAATCGACCTGTTCCAGCATTTCAAACCGTATTCACACCCACGACCACATTCTCATCAATCCCTCCACCTCCTACACGTACTCTTGATCATCAACCTCCAGCAACATCAGAGCAGTTCCTACAAATCGTAAAAGATGTTCGAAAAGCCATCTTACATCCTACCAAACCACTCTTACCAAAACTCAATTTATGTGGAAGTTCTGGAAGCTATTTTTGTAAAGCTCTCGTTGACGGGACTGCTGAAGTGGTGGGAATCTTTAAGCCAAAAGATGAAGAGCCTTGTTAGTGATACTTAGCATTCTATTCAGCGATCTCCATCCACAAGCCTATCTGTCTTGTATTTGATATTTCGGAAAATTGATGTATCTGTTCTGATCTCATGATTGACTCTAGACGGCGCTATGAATCCAAAGTGGACAAAATGGTTTCATCGAGTCCTATTGGCTCCTCTCATCGGCGGCTTTGGTCGCAGCTGGTAAGTACATTCATATCTATGCTGCTATGTGAAATTTTAGTGACTGATCAGAAATCATTCATCACTTCCTACGGTCTAACGTAGCTTAATTCCCAACCTCTCGTATCTCAGTGAAGTCAGTTCATCTTCATTCAACGGGACGCCATACTCAATCCTTGACTGATTTAAATGTGTTATTTAATGCTACACAGGCTGCAGCATCTTTACTTGATCGCCGATTGGAGGCCTATATTGTTCCACGCACTGAAGTAGTACACATCTCTTCACCGACGTTTTTCTACTCGTGGCTCGATCGAAAAGCAGCTACGCGCAAGTCAAAGCCTCGTCCACTTCCTCAGAAACCAGGTAGCTTTCAGCTATTTTGTACTGGGTTTGAAAGTGAGTCCCCATTACATCATAATCTCTTCATGTCCTCATAATGAAAATCACTTACCCAAATTTCTTTGTTAACGTGATATCTAATTCAAGATGCTTCAACTGTACTCAGAACCCATCCTTGGCCTGGTCGTCCCCTTGGTGATACATTGGATCCACATAACCGTCGTCGACGCCCTCGAAAAAACTTTAGTCTTTACCGTCTACTATGTGGTCAAAGATCCGATGTGATGGACTCCGATGATGAATCCTCAGATTCTGGTGAAGTAGATGAGGCTGATAAATGTTCATCTGTTTCTCATCCATCCAATTGGTGTTGGACTCAAGAGCTTATGGATGATTTTAAACATGAAATGGAGAAGTTGGTGATTCTGTACGTATCTGATCTTTTCATTCTACACACTATTCTTTGGTCATGATTGAGCATCATATATTGCTTATTGTGGTTTTCCCGCTGACTGGCCTGTGTCCTGTACTCCTACCCGATGTACCGCAGTGATTATCTCATGCGCAATACGGACCGAGGACTCGATAATTTCATGATCAAAGTCTGCAATGCTAATTGTCATAGCTCACGAAGCCGCAAAGTCTCGGGCGCCACAGTAGCTACTACGAGCAGCCGGGCAGATGGTGACAATATAAATCCAGCTGACCTCTCACATCGCCCACATTGTCATGTTGCTGCAATCGATAATTCATTAGCATTTCCTCATCATCATCCTAACGGTTTACGCGACTACTCTTATGGCTGGTTGTTCTTACCTGTCTCCTTGATCGGCCAACCTTTCTCAGCCTCTACACGAGCTCATTACCTTCGACTCCTAACAGATCCGATGTGGTGGGCAGAAACGATCTATCAGCTTCGACAATTATTTTCGACTGATCCTGATTTCAATGTGGCCATGTTTGAACGTCAAATGGCACTTTTGAAAGGACAAGGATGGAATGTAGTCGAAAGTCTTCGACATTCTGATGAGGGACCATTGGAGCTTTGTAGAAGAAAGAAAGCTTTGGTATGGGATGAAGCTTTAGAATTACCTGAACATCAAACTTCTCCAGTACGACCTTTACCGATCCCGGCCCCCAGAAGCGGGCCAGAACCAACACGAACGTCAACGGCTCCTGCTGGACCTATGCGCCCTATGCTACCTACTCTTTCGCGTTCTTGGTCTTCACGTACGGCTAATTCAATCTCACAGAAACCACCACGACCGATCTCTCTGGCTGTTCGTCGAGGAAATGGATCCGAAGAGATTGATGCAGCTAGAGGTGTAGATGTGATGAAACAAATGGATGCGATGCAAGCGTGGGAAGAAGAAGAAGAAGAGATCGGATCACCAACCACATTTACAAGTCTTGAAGGAAACTATGGTACATTTCCAATCCAAGGTGGTGAAGAAGTTGAAGGATCAGATGAAGCAGAAGATGATATTAGAAGAGAAGAAAGAAGTCCATTGTTAGTGAATGATAAAAGGAAGTTGAATGTTGGATTTATTGAACGAGTTCAATTTGTTAAAGCTCAACCAGTCTTTAAGAATTGTTGATCGTTAATTAATTTAGAGTTGAACATTTCGATATTCTTTTGATATTGATTTGTCAGTTTGTTTTGTTATGTAATAATGAAGTCAGTGAAGGTTTGTTTTTTTCTCAAGAACTTATAATTTATGTAGAAAGTAATAGATATGTATAGTTTTTGAGTTTTGTTGATTGATTTGTAAGTTTTGATTATTTTCTTTATTGCATTCTTTCTAATTCTGATACGCATATGTAAGAGAAACAGTTTGTAATTTCAAGAAGATCCTTGTGTTTAACTTTATTAAATCTGGATGTCAATTATTTTTATTTATTTATTTACATTTGTGATTGATTATGTATTGATTGATTTTGAGTGGCTCCAACAGTATGATGGCAGGTGTACTCAAGAGGAAAGTAAAGTACACGTAGTGCATAAACTGAAAGGACGACATGGTGTAGATAGGGCCATGGAAATAGAGAGTAGCCCAAGTATGAAGGTGTTCTTTCTTAAAATGAGTAAATTGCTCATCCTACTCATGCAATCAAGGACTTCATATAAACAAGAGCCATTAGCCCAAAGAGGAAAAAAAGGAGCGTAGTAAATCTTCATATCTGGTACACACGTAGCTTGACGCTAGAATTAGGCAGTCTCAAAGGTGACAAACGCTTGTATCATTGGTACTGTGGCATGGCGATTATAAGAACTTGATCAAGTTGAGGATCTGCACACTACTGTTGAACAAAAGCTCCTCGCGCAAAAGAAACCCTCGAGATTCAGGAAGCACCGATTCTGACAGTCTTGGCAAGGAAGGAAGCAGGCAGTGAGTGACCGATTGTATGATAAACTGAGAGCTATCTGGAACAAAGTTGAATGAGAAGACCGTTCAAAGCGTGAATATCAGTTTGAATGTTCTCATTTCATCTTTGTGACTATATATCACTCACATAAAACTGGTCAGAACTTTAATAGGCATCAAGACTTGTAAAATAGAAAAAAGAAAATTTGCAATGTTATTATTTAGTTGAACAAGATATTGGGTACAACGGGACAAAGAGAAGATATTTTTGTTGGCCTCTTAAAATCAAGAAAGATCTATAACAATTTTATTCTTCAATACGATATATGAAAGAAACAAAGGATTTGTTACAGGTAAAGAAGATCAAGATGCCCAAAAGAAAGTCAAGTATGAGAGAAGGTGATATATATATATATGCATGTATCTTTTGAAGGGAAGAAGATAATAGAGAAATTTTTCTTATGCTCTGTATTGAGAAATAGTAATGCCCCCGATACCTCCAGGTCCCAAAGCTGGGTTTCCTGCGAGATTGACACCACCCCCGAGATCGAAGCCGGGATCACCGCCAATATTGTATCCAGCTTCAGCACTAGCTCCGTACCCAGCATTAATGCCTACTTGCACTGTAGAACCCGCGCCGTCGGCACCAGCGCCATATCCAGAGATATCGCCAGCGCCGAGGATTTGCCCACCCATGATCCCAGCACCTTCTCCCCCAGAACCGTAGCTAGATGCAGGACCAGGACCACCCATGCTCAGAGCACTACCGCCAGAGCCATATCCAGAGATAGGCCCAGGGGCTTGCCCAGAGCTAACAATAGCACCTTGCCCAGCGCTCACGCCCGCACCTTGCCCGAGTGTGATACCAACACGACCATTGGAACTAGCGTCGGCAGCACCAGATATAGCGCCACCACCGTTCACAGAAATAGAGCCAGGAATAGAACCAGCAGCAGCCCCACCGGCTTGCCCAGAGACTTCACCTGCACTGTGCCCAGAACCAACACTGACACCTTGTCCGGAACTTATACCGGCACCACCCTGGAACCCAGCACCAGCACCGGAGGCTGGCCCAGGTGGGATAGAGCCAGCACCCGAACTGACTCCTTGACCGATACTGATGCTACCGCTTGAGCTATGTTGGAAAACACTACTGATTCCGAAATCGAGTTTAGAAAAGGCATCGTAGTTGAGGTTCAGTCCAGAGAGAAAACTCTTCAGGTCTGTACCAATAGACTGGGCACTTGCGAAAACAGGTTGAAGGGTAGCCCATAGATTTGAAAATATCGCTGCAAAACAAAAGAGAAGTCAGATGTTTCAATTTTTTAGATGAGAGGTTTTGAAATCTATTGCACCCCTATTGCTTACGTTTGCAAGAGAGTTCAAAAGAGCCTGAGAAATGCATACTCATGTAGGAAACTACTGAGTTTAAAGATTGAAGACACGAAGCCACACTGGATTTAAATCTCAACTTGAAGATTTAAAACGGACATTTGGCTCAGTAGTGAATTCAATGGGAGTAGGACTATGTGATCACTTACGACATCATTTTGACTTCCACTACAAGGAGAACTTAAGCAATTACCAGATACAGGTTGTAAGGCAGCTGAATATTCTTGCCTTAATTGATCTAATTTAGCAATCGAAGTTCTTAGATCAGTATGTCCTTCTGTGATTTCTTGACGACAAGAATCTGTCTTTTGTTGTAATACTTGTAATCTATCACAGACTAAACTGAAACCAGATTGTTGATTGACTTGAAGATTTCGAGTTGATAAATTTATGTTATTCCTGTTGGATAGTATGATTAAATCTTGTTAGTGTTATTTGAGGAATATCATGAGGTTTGCCAATGTGGATGTTTGGTGAGTGAAAGGACATGCGTACTTTACTGGAAGCACAGATTGAGTCGAGAAAGCTGCAAAGCGGTAAGGTTAACATCGCTTCCTTGAAGGATTCATGAAATGATTGGAATGATAGAATATATATTACTCACCAACACAGCTCGAGAAAGCCAAAAGAGATTTGAACAACATGTCTTAGAACTTTGGAAAAAGAGATGGGGGTTTAAGTGAAGGACGTAATTGGAGACCGGTCTTTTGTAGAGATGAAAATCGTAAGGAAAGATAACTAAAGCGATGGAGCAGAATCTCAAAGGGACTCATATGAAGAAGGAAACAGATCTACTTAGTGAAAAACCTTTCCTAGTTTTTGAATGGACCCTCTTCGTAATCTTAAAGTAAGAGGTCTATAGCGAGGAAATCATTGTCAAGGGATAAACAGCTCTTGTTGTCTTCATGGAGTAACTGCCACGGAAAAGTTGAGGGTCCTCCCTCCGTCAGGTTATCCGTCCGCTCATCTCAACCTTTGTGTTCCATCCTACGTCTTATTCTTGACGAAGTGTCAATCTTGGTCAAATTTCTTGTTGCATTTGTCTGAGTAGCGAGCCTTTTAAGGTTTCATTTTGACTTGCCGACCTGAATTCATTCATATCTCCAAGTCATCGGAATATCTGATGTCCTCCACACATCTTCGAAATCTTTTCATGGCCAGTTCCCTCCACATGCTAAAAGGCTTGCCTAAAACGGATCCAGTGAGACAGGCATCTCTACAAAGCCAACAAGCCGGCTTGGTAATCCTCAGGGCGAACCGACCTCAAAAGACTATGGTTGATTTCACTGAACGTAAGGAAGTGTCCGATTGGGGCTTGACCCCGATTGATGAATAATTTGGCCCCGTGGGGTCAAATTTTGAGATACAAAATTTGAAAAGTTCAATGATGGACTGAGTTATGAACCTCAATCACCTCTTCTTTCTTTGACCAAGCCTCATTTTATTATGGTTCTGCTTTTGCACCAATGCCACGTCCCTCCAAACGATGCAAGGGTCAAATTAAGCGCCGCCATGCAATGGAATCATATGAATCAAAGACAAAAAAAACAAAATATTCCCAAGGACTTTTAAACGATGAAAGCAACACAAAAAGTGCAGGTCCTCTTGTGATTGGTGTAGATGCCAAAGTCTCTTCAAGCTTTGAGGATTCAGAAACATCGGACAGCTTTTCGGTGTCACTTGAATCAATTTCTGACGATGGATCTGAAGATGGTGTTGACAATGATTTCAAGAAAGATCCTTCAGATCCACAAATCAAACTCAAAGGCTATGATAATACCCTTTCTGAAACTCAAGTTAGTCAAACCAGCACAGTAGACACATCACCTCCAAACCCAACCCCAAACCCGAAATCGGCGCATCAGATTGAAGTTATCAACAAGCAATGGCAAGAGTTGCATGACGCAATCAAGGATGCTACAGACTACTACAATCAGAATCCATCTTCTAATTTGGTCGCAATCCATCAAGCTCAGGAGCTAGCAATACTAGCTGAATTTAATAACCTAAGGAAGCAGCTCAATCTTGTTAATCCATATAGTTCATCGATTTCAGCCTCAAAAGAAGTAGCATACTCATACCTTGGACGAGCACTTGACCTTGACTTGGAGTTCAAAACTGGAAAGAGTCACGCTGAACGAATTCAAAAACAATCAAAATACATTGTGATTCATAGGTGCTTACCAATACGACAGAATGGCCTGTGTTCACGACCTAAGTCAATCTTGGATGATCCAAGGGTAGAGCGGATGGTCTGGGAATGGATTACGAGCGAGAAGACTGGTAAGGTATGTGCTTTATCTAAATTCTTCTGCCAACTGTAAGACATTAAGTTATGCTTTCTTGATCCTTGTCATTAGGTCAGGCCAGCAGACCTTGTCCAGCATCTCATTGAGGTAATCTTACCCCAGTTTGACGAGTATAAGGATTCAATCTGTGCTTCCACAGCTAATAGGTGGATGCACACACTTGGATTATCAGTCACACTCCTCACAAAATGTCTCTATTACGATGGACACAAACGTGCAGATGTTGTGTTATATCGACAAAAATACAATAATCAGCTCTCTGAATTGATCAAGCGAGAAGTTACTTATGTTGGTAAAAATCTTGATCAAGTTATCAATCCGGTTCTAGACAACACAAATCGCGAGATTGTCTGAGTTTATCAGGATGAAGCAACATGCCATACTGGCGAAGAGCCAAAATCGGCGTGGCTGGCTAAAGACGACTGTGCACTCAAGAGAAAGAGTGAGGGAAAACTTATTCATGAATCTGATTTCACTGAGAAAAAACACGGCCGGCTCGTCATACCCAAAGATACACCATGTACTCTTTCATTTAAGGATGCAGCGGTTGTCATCTACCCAGGCAGCAACGGTGATGAATGGTGGAATTGTCTTCAACTTATTAAGCAAGTCCAAACACGAGCAATCCCAATCTTTGAATTCCTAAACCCCGGATGCCAAGGTCTCTTCATCTTTGACTGCTCATCAGCACACGAGTCTTTTGCGCTGGATGCTCTTCGAGTAGAAAAAATGAACCTTGGCCCAGCTGGATCACAGGCAAAGCTACACGACACAGTCATCCCCTCCGATGATCCCAACATCCCAGCCGAACTTCGTGGAACCATACAATCCATGAACTTCCCCTTTGATCATCCAGATAAGCAACTCAAGGATAAGCCTGACGGAACCAAACAATTCCTTGTTCTTGCTGGGAAGCCCAAGGGAGTGCAGCAGGTACTGGCCGAGCGTGGCTTATGGGACCACTACAATACTATCCGGACCTCAAAAGGACTCAAACCCCTTGGATTGAGATGTGCTAAGTGTGCACAGACAGGCCGTGCAAAGGATCGAATCGCTCGAGCGGAGCGCTTGATCCGAGATAACGACCAACCAAATTCTGAAGATATAATAACCACAACTGAAGCTGCACCAGCCCACGATGAGGTTATGTATTGTTGCTCAGCCAAGATCTTATCCAATCAATTGGACTTCGAGAAGGAGAAACCCAGCCTTCAGATGATAATTGAACAAGCTGGTCATTTATGTATGTTTCTGCCAAAGTTCCACTGCGAACTCAATCCAATTGAGCACGAGTGGTGCTATATCAAGGGCAGTAAGTTCATCTCCCTTTCTCAACTGAATCTCTTTTAGCTGAACACATTTTTCTTCAACGTAACTTCAGAGTTTCGCAACTGCAGTCACACAGCGAATACCTTAAAACAATCGAAGGATCTATGGGAAAAGGTCAGGACAAGCTGCCCCCTCGTAACCATCCGTAGGTTCTTTGACAGGTGCGATAAAGAAATGAATCACTTGATGTGAGTCTCTTATCAGTCTCACTTTGATTGGCCCGATTTTACTCGTCATTTCATAGATCTCATTAATTTTGATGATCTTAATTGATTGTAGGCAGAAGCCAGTGCGACCTGATCCCAGTGTCAAGTCTTATAAATCTCACCGAGTTGTTGCTCGCACAACTAGAGAAGACCTCGATATCTGACCATTTCTTTTGAGATTTACCTTTCCAATTTCCACATTTTTGCCTTTTTTCTTTCTCTCAAGGATCGGTAACCATCATACATGTAATCCAATCAGTGCCCACTTGTATTTCATGCTTGAGGAATGTAGATACGTGCTCAAAACCCCAAACAAGTCATGAAATGAGATAAAAAATTGATAGTCATTTTTTTCCCGTAAAAAGTTAATTGGGCATAATACCAGGTGCAAGCATTTCACATATGTTCTCAGATTTTAAAAAAGTTGTATTTTCAGGGAGGAGTAGTGTTTTGAAAAAAAAAGGAAAAAGATCAAATGGATCAATCTGAAGAGATATTCTGTGAAAGCCGTGCACCCAACAATTTGGAATCTGGTCTCGGACCTTTGAAATGTTAACTTTTGACGGAGTAGTAGTGTTTCACATCCTCGATCGGGAACTTCCTTACGTTCAGTGAAATCAACCATACCCCGATGAAGTTGTTGCCTTCTACCAAATTTCAACTTTGAAAAACTTCCTACCTTTCTTGAGAAGGCTCAAAGTAAGATATAAGAAAAATAGAGGGAACTGACAAGAATGGACACATGTAGCCCCACTTTAAATGGGCATGGGAGTTGATTGAGAGGAACTGTGATTGTTTCAGGTTTCAAACGCCTCCCAGCCAAAATTGGACTTGGGACTCCCTGCTTGCTCATCAAAACTGGTATATTTGTCATAAGTCCCTCTACAGACACCCAAGATTGCAATCAAAAAGTGTTTGACTAGAGGGACTTATTTAAGTTGAGATCATGTGGTATTAGGACTTGGCAAAGCCCTAGTAGATAGAAGCTTCAACATCTTCAAATTCACCCCTCAATATGAATGTGATAAAAATTAGGTCACGACAAATAACTCATACTGTGCCTAAAGAAAAATGTTGCAAGCAAATTACAAATTTTTATATTTGGAAAAGGAAAAAAGAAAGCTTCTTTCTTGAAACCACAAACACTGCTGGGAGACTCAAGTACATGGAATTCAAGGATTAGTATAGGCACAAACCACAAATTAACCAACCCCTCTGATGAAGATTGGTCTATTTGTGATGGGATACAGGATTGGCAGGAATTATGGTGGTTTGAACCAGAAGTAATGTCACATACCCTTGGAGCGTGGGTGAAGATATCCTTCCCCTAAGCCTGACCCCCCAAGGCTATTCCCTATCTGCTAATGTTTTCACTATCAGAGTCTGTCAAGTGTTTTTTGTCACATCTAGGTAGCTAGAGCCGCAGCGGCTTTTTTTTTCTCACACAACTTAGTAGCTGAAAGCGAAGTTTTTTTTCGCAGCGCCTATTTTTGTCAATATTGCAAGCTTTCAGATATCATATCTTTATTTTTGGGCAAGGTAAAGGAAACAAAAGCAGATCAAGAAATGGTACTCTTAGGTAAGGACTGTTGAGAAACCTAAAAATAAACGTTTTGTGATGTAAAGACCGTAATGAAAACATAAAACATAAAGAAAAATCAAATAAAAAGACATTTCAACAAACTTGATGTAATGTAAGGACTGTGATGAAAAAAGAAAAAATATGTATATTCAAAATCAATTAAATCAAAGTAAAAGAGTGTAGAGAAAACGATAAAAGGGATTAAAAAAGAGGTGAAA